CTTACTGGTTCTCCAGTGGGCTCGAAGCTGTTGATCAATTGGCTGTCGTAGATGATTCTGGGATTCCCTTTGATTCCAGTGTCTAGAGCCTCAACCCCACCATACTGAGCGGCAGATCGTTTCGCAAACCCATCAGTATCCAACTGTCCCTCCTGCTTCAGCTTTTGAAGTTTGTCCTCGACACTGCTTCGCACATACTCCAGATATGGAGGATTTCCTGGACTGATAACATTGTCGGCAGCAAGAACCGTTCCTTTTTTGATCAGGCCCAATTGTTCACATAACTTCAGGTCGGTCGTGTATGCTGGCTTATAGTGATCTAGGAACATCATATCAATGGTCTTCAATCCGCGAGAATGTAGTGTTTGAATCCCCTCGTTACTAGGACCAACGATCACTTCAACAAATCCTTCGAGACCAGCAAATTCTACGAGAGCAGTGATAACTTTCGCGAACTTCGGACTTCTCTCCAATGAATAATACTTCACTCCCCCAGCATCCCGTACTGCTGACCCAAAAAGTATTGTAGAATATCCACAATACCCTCCGAGCTCAACCATTATATGAGGCTTTGTTTCACTGATTATCTTGGTGACAATAGCTCCTTTGTCCTCTCCTACATTCATGAGATATCTCATCGTTCGTCCATACTCATCGATAGCTTTGAGAACGTTCGCCGGCGAACCTTGAATCTTAGATCGATCGTGATGATTTCGCACAAACTCGACAAGTTCTTCTTCTCTACCGTCATCGAACTGCGGGGAAAGTTAGCAGTGCAACGTACTCAAATATAGTCACAAAACCTACAAATGTTTCTTCCTGTGAAGCATATGACTTCGTCTTGTCAAATGGAGCCATATCGTTGTCTTTGCAAAAGGCGTTGAGGGCAACTTGATAACTACTATTGATACTGCTTGAAGTTTCTTGTCACTGTCTACTAAGCAGTAAATCTAATACCTAGCACAAACATCTAGGAATGGCCTAGTGAAAATAAAGATGTCTGTCTCACTGCATACAATCTTCCGAGATTCGTGGCCTTACTTTCTAGGCACAGACGTCGTAATCAGATCTTGATTTTCGCATAGTTTGAAAGATGTTGGTGTCATTGACTTTCTCGACATGTCGTATTCGGTGTTCCAGTATCGAACTATACCCCCCAGGATGCATGCATCAATGCAGCTAAATGCGCTAAGGCTTAGACTACTGTTTTAGCGTGACAGGCTATGTGGGGGAGCTCGAGGAGCTTTCCTTTGTTTATCAAATCTTTGAACAGAGGTCGGTGCTTCGATGAAAGCATGCAAAATACGACAAAGCTACAGAAATGTTACCTTGTAGTAGTTTACAAGATAGCAAATGTACCCCAATGGAAATGATAAGCAAACGCACGCCTCCAACCTGAAGTAGTACGGACGGGTAGATGCGGATGCTGTGCTATCATACCAAGTGTCAAGATTTCCGAACAGCAAAGCTATGAAGACAGTGCAAGGTGAACCATGGACTAAATCTACCCGAGATCTCGAACCAGCTGATCGTGGGGTCATGAAATTCGCTCGTGCTAGAGCATTAACATGCCAGGCGCGGGCCGCGAGCCACATCCTTGCCTTTTACATTCTCTTCGCGCCTGCCTGTTGCATTTTCGTTGTAAGTTAGCGTAGAGGCACGATTTCGCCCGGCAATTCAAATTCTTTGTATTTGCTTGTTCCTGGTTTCGGAATTGACCTCAATGTAGTCTGGAACGTTGTTCGATGGCTGAACCCTTCCTGGTTAGCGTGGGGTGATAATGTCATAGATTGAGTTTGTGGACTGGCTATTGTCACCTTGCATGTTTGACTGAACAATCTCCGTAACTCAACTGCTTGCATTTGATCAATATCGATATGTTACTTCAAAGGAGTCTGATAATCTGCGGTGCACTAATGAGACATAGTTTGATCTTGATGTATGATAGTGTATAATGGTGCAATATTAGTCGTACTAGTAGAAAAGTCTTAGTGACGTTGACTTCTTCCTATCCCTGTCGAGGGGTGCTTAAAAACCCTCCTCTCCCAAGATTTGTTAAGAAAACTGCAATCAGAATTTCAACAATCCATCTCATACTCTCATTCAACTCTTTTCAACATGTCAGACCTCAAAGCAACCGTTTCAGAGACCACAACTAAGTCCGGCCATGCCGGGTTCCACGTTGAAGGTTATGAGAAGATTGAATATGACTTCACTTTCATTGATGGTGTCTTCAATATTGACAATCCAAATCTTGCCGAGTGCTATACCCATTGGGGAAGATGTTTAGCCGTCACTGACATGAACATCTACAATGTTTATGGAAAGCAGATGGAGAAGTACTTTCAGCATTACAACATCAAGCTGGTATTCCACAAAACAAAGATCGGAGAGAAGGCAAAGACCATTCCTACCTTTTTAAGTATTGTGGATTCCATGACCGAATTTGGGATCTATCGCAAAGTTTGTACTCTGACCATCGCTTGATAAATTGTCATGTGTCATACTAACATATTTGTAGGAGCCAGTTCTTGTTGTCGGAGGAGGTCTTGTTACTGATGTTGCGGGGTGAGTTGCATAATCACAATAATATTCAAGTCATGTGAATAAAGTCTGACATTTATCCTTTTACAGATTTGCTTGCGCAGCATACAGACGAAACACTAACTTCATTCGTGTTCCAACTACTGTCATCGGATTGATTGACGCATCAGTGTCAATCAAGGTTGCAGTCAACTATGGGAACTACAAGAACAGACTAGGCGCTTATCACGCTCCTATTCATACGTTCCTTGACTTCACATTCTTACGAACACTTCCCACTGCGCAGATACGTAATGGTTTTGCCGAGCTGATCAAAATTTCATCCTGCTCTCACCTACCTACTTTCGATCTACTAGACAAATACTGCGAACAGCTCATTGAGAATTCTTTCGGTCGAGCTGATGGCTCTTCCAAGGAGTTGATCGATGCTGCAGACACGATCAACAGAGGAGGTATCCACGAAATGTTGAAGTTAGAAACACCAAACCTTCATGAGATTGGTCTGGATCGTGTGATTGCCTATGGGCACACGTAAGTGGTTCACTGCTATATACTGCAAATTGTTCTTAAGTCTAACATTATTAGATGGTCACCTCTTCATGAGCTTGTGCCGGAAACACCCCTCCGACACGGCCACGCGATCTCCATTGATATGGCTTACTCGGCAACTCTTGCCAATCAAAGAAAGCTCTTGAGTGATGAGGAGCATCGCCGCATCTTGAACTTGTTCTCTCGTGCAGGCCTTTCAATGGATCATCATCAATTCGATGAAGAGATCCTGGCAAAGGCTACTGCCGCTATCCTTAAGACCCGAGATGGAAAACTCAGAGCCGCTGTTCCAAACCCTCTCGGGTCATGCACCTTCTTGAATGATGTTTCTGCCGAGGAGATGAACCAGGCTTTACATCGCCACAAGGAGATCATGAAGGAGTATCCTAGAAATGGAGAAGGACTCGAGGCATTTGTCGATGCTTCTGACACCGGTTACACCGAGAACGCGAAGATGGAAGAAGAAAGAATCATTGAAATGGCAGCGAAGAAGGCCGGTCAGATGAATGGATCTAATGGCCATGCAAATGGAACCAATGGACACACAAATGGAACCAACGGTCATGCCAACGGGACCAATGGACACGCAAATGGAACTAATGGGCATGCTCCTCACATAAATGGGAAGGCGAATGGTCTAACGAATGGGCACAGTAATGGGGCATTATCAAATGGTACGACGGGCAACTACTGATGCATGGGTGGATTGAAAAAGTGAAGGTTAATGTTTAAGATTGTAATGTTGTTTGACTACGGACGCGACTTGCATGATTTCTTTAAAGCAATGTCTTTTCGGAAGATAAATATGATGCTTCCAATTCAATGACCTACTGCATGTTTGGTTGCACAATGTGATGCCAATTATAGTTCAATTCAGTGTTTGTATGCTACCAAAATCTGTGCGCATTAGGTGATTCATTAGTCTTCTCAAAGTAAGCTTTGCTTGTGTGATGGGGTGTTAAATGTGTTGAGTTTGGGTGCGGCTCCTAGCGACTGATGTCTGTGGTTCTTTCAATAGCGTCGGGTCCGAGAGTCCATCAATCGGATTACCGGATAGACCAAATCATCTTAGTGCGTCTCAATTAATAGAGACGTGCAACAAAAATTTAAAGTTTCATCACGCTTTCTTATGTAATGGGTTTGGTTTAGTGAGGGGTGAGGTTGATGAAAATATTATGAGGTACTGAGGTACTGTGATGTTGGCTTGAGGTTGAATGTTTGCGTACTGTTGATCTTCTATTTCAGTGGAGATATATGGTCGTTATTGTTATTGTTGTTATGGCTGTGGCAGTGGCTGTGGTGTTTTTTTTAGTGTTGGGTTGATGAGATGAGATGCTTTGTTCACTGTATTTATTGGAAGCTTTTGATTATTAGGAGGAAAGTAGGATCTCCCGGATATCCTAACTTTATATTCATCCCAGCCATCAAATACGCTGCAAAATAGGTTACCATTTTGAGGTTTCTGGAATTAAGTTCTCGTTTAGCCATCTAAGGCTTTTCCTTTCTCTTTCGAAATGTGGGTTCCACACTCGATTGTACGAGGTACTGATGGTAAGCTTGACTTTACGGATTCTCTTCACATCTCGGTACGCAGAATTACCAGGTTTCTGTTGATTTGCAAGGCGCCTGTGAGTTGGTTATTCTATAGGAGATATGGATAGGATATTTGGGAAGTCAAGGAGGTGGTGATGGTGAGTATTTGTAGTAGGAATTCGAGTCCCTTTCTATGTAATCTTACCCGATTTTGATTTTGCGGAATGTTTTATAGGATTAAAAGCTATCTATATCAAATCTATCTGTCATCTCGGAATAAAAGTGAGTTATTTCAGAAAATATTCTAGACTGCTTAGGTGAAGTTACCTGGCGCCGAACGCGAAGGAATACCCGAGTGCTTCGAATTCTTCTTATTAATGCTCTGAATAAAATCCTTCCTTATTCAAAGCTATGATTTCCTTCATCTTTTCATCCAAAGGCTTTTTTTTTTGTGGTTTATCTATCGACACTCTTCCTGCATTCAACGATGTCATTGGGTTATCTATTGTAGAAGCAGATACATTATTTTCAGAGTGGCGTTTGGATTTAGGCTTGGTACTCGCATCGCTTGTTTCGGAGATTGAAGTCGATCGCTTTCGCTTCTTTGTGATGGTGTTCTTGCTGGATGTTTCGGTGGCGTGGGTTGTGCCGCCGCATGTCAGTGAATGGTTTCCGTGCTTAGTTTCAGTTTGCGAAGCAGAAGAACTCGGTTGTGGATGTTGGTTCATTTGTCGATAGCCTAGAAGAGCTGGTAAAACTGTTGATTAGCATTGACACCGATGAAAGACCACGATCAAAGCTTACATTGTCCGACTCCGGCCGCGATGTTGTCATTCTCCGAGCCAGAGCCCCAGGCATCTCCAGTCGCTTGAGAATACGAGGAGTTCTTTCCCTTCTTCGTGTACCAGCAAGCGTACGACTCGTCCATCTGAGTGACGAATAGTTCTAAACCTTGTCTCCTCACTTTATATTCGTCTATCATTATCTTCATCTTTGCCGTAATGGTTCCCCGCCATTTGTTTTCCGTAATTCTGCTATCCTGCCTAACTCGCTGGGTTACGAAAATATCAGGGTCAAAGTAATTCTCGAGCTCGTTTACAATCAATGGCTCCTTTGGATATCCTCCATTATCTCTTCCCATTCATCTTTTGATGAACTCAACGAAGACCTACAAGCATCTCTGAGCATTTTTAAGATAATCCGATATTTCCGACGACGGAAGTAAATGGTTACGGTTGAATGTAACTCATTGAGAGTTTGCAGTCGCCATGTTCTCGAGGTTCTCAATAAAGTCAGTGAATCGGGCCGAGCGTCTTGATTCGTCATCTTCTTCATTGAGCCATGGATTCTCCATGTCGAGCGGCATCATTGTCTTCAGCATGGTACTGCGAACTCCTCCCACCATTGGCAGGCTCGTAGCTCTTCTGCCAGGATCCACCGAACGTATTCATCTACTTGATTAATCAAGCGGATCAATTTTGATTCTTTGTCAGCAGTTGCGACTATGTATGGGACGGGCCTGGTATTGGATCTTTCGGTCATCTTGGCTATTCAAGTTAGCTAATCGTTATATTTCAATGTTGATGAATGCACTCACTCTGATAACAAACCTTCGAGTTGTTTCAAAGGGTCAAATGATTGATTGTGCTGAAAGTTCTTGATTGGAAGTCTTCCCATTCGAGAAGCAAAAAGTACAGGTGATCGTTATCCTTAGCTTAAACAAAGAGAGGTAAATTTCAAATCGGGTTGGAAAAATGGTTGGAAATTTGAGAAAAGAAATTTTATTCTGTGGAAGGTATTAAAGAATTGAGAGACGATACAAATGGTTTGAATATCGCTTAGATAGGTTAGTCAGTAGGTTGAAGATTGAGAGATCAGTTGTTTTGAATACCGGAGTGGAACATTGAAAGATGAGATGAGGCCAGCAAGCTACCAATTAAGTAAACTCACTTTTTTATATGTGAATCACAGGAGCTATATGGACCGCGTAGTAAGTAAGTGAATATAGTGCAATACTCAACACTCCCAGAAGCGAACTCTGCAGCCGGGCACCTACATAATCCTTCAACTATTTTCTCTATTTCAGATTTCTTCATAACTTTCTCATTCCGCACACTCAAAGGTTACAGCAGAAAACCTCAACACCTATTAACTCATTGTCACGACCGAAGCACTAAAGCCTCACAATCTTAAAGTTGCCACTGCCACGCCACACGCAATGGATAACGGGCAAGCTATAAATGTATCTTCAAGTCATATTTTACTAACTCTTCCAATTACTTCAAGTGCATTCGTAGTCGCTAACATCAACAATCATTTCCTTAGATTATTGGGCTTCTAGAGCACCACTGAAAGGAACTCCTAGGTCCATCCGAGACTCTATCCTTGGCCATGGAACGTACAGTAGAGGTTTTTAAGAAAGTCAGAATCGTTGAAGACATCAGAATCATGGCATCCAGCTTTGGTGCATTGGCGCGGGTTGCAGTATGTTATTCCTCAAGTCATTGAAAGCGTCGTTCTAGTCCTTAAATATAGTTGGACAGGGCCGCTAAGCTCGAACGAGCTTCAGGCTTGCTAACGATAATCGAAGAGAATACACGTGTAGCGAAGAAGTACAAAGCCGACATGAACGAGGTAATCAAGAAATGGAGAGCCTACAAGCTCAGTCTTGATCCCGATTGGAAGATGGAGGCTCAATTTGCTGATGTTTTCCACTCGGTCGGATCTGATGGTGTCTTGAAATTGCTCAATGGGGGTCGTGGTTCGGATGAAGCTGCATTCTTGTCTGTAGAAGACTACATGGAGAGTTTATTGGAGCTAGCTGCAGAGAATGAAGGAGAGCCCACTCCTGACGGAGGAAATTAGTTGTATTATTTGAGGAAACTCTTTTGGATACTTCCAATGTGGTCTGATAATGGCCCATGTTGGGTTCAGTGAGCGAATTAATATAAGCCATGGGGTTTGATGAAGGACCAGTGAAAGGACTCAGGGTCTGAGATCCAATAGCTTTAGAAGCACATCTAGCACAAGTAATTCTTTCTAATTGCTTTACTAAAACCAAACATTGTACTCATGATTAAACAGCAAGGAAGACAACAAAAATGTCAACAGTGATTTTGTTCTATTGTTAAAGTAAGATTCCACAGCGGGTACGACAACATTGATGGGACTTAACATGATTGCTTGTAAAGTGTGTCGATATAATATGCAACATTGAACAGAATGGCATCGATCATTATAAAATTACCACACTGGACTAATTCAAGTAAGACACTAGCTCTTCATCTCGAGATCCTTTTATTTGATCCGAAAGATGATGCCTGGAGTGTAACATATAAAGAGAAACAGCAATCAATGCAAGATGATGACTTTACAGAACATTGCCCTTCTCAACACGAGAAGAATAGAAAATATTGAACACTTGCATTGGCAGGATAACCGAAATCTCTTTTTTCTCTTGATGATCAATTGATACATGCATGTTGGTGGGGGAGATCAAAAATTCTGAAGACGACGATTTTGTCTTGTAACATATATTGAAACAAGCACATGGACATTCAATTAATCGGCCGGATGGTGTAGTTGGTTATCACGTGTCCTTAACACTTCAAACCTGTTAACTACGGACAAGGTCCTGGGATCGTGCCCCAGTCTGGTCAGTCATACATATCTTTTTGCACTTTTTGAAGCTGCTGCATTGGAAGTTGTGTGCACTGTGTAGTGATTGAGGTTGTGTTTCTGCTCTATGTTCTTCCTTTTTGTAGCGATGTTGAAAGGGTTTGATGCTGGGAAACGCGAGATGACATAAGCGAGGCTAAGTATACCTAGTAAGTATGACCTCTGGAGGGACGAATTTGAGGGAAGGCGAGGGAAGGCGAGGGAAGGGCAAGTGAGATCCCGCTGCAAAGGAAAATAATTGGGGTCGGGTCATTTGGTTTGATGGAGATAGTAGATGGAGAGCATGGAGCAAGGGTTTTTGATGTTTGCGGCAATGTCAGTATCAATAACGCCAAGTCTCATCCAAACGTCCGTGCACTGTCTATGTGTATGTAATAACCTTAAACTCGAGCTCTCTGACGAGTACGAAGTAGAGTTCAGATAATATCAAATCAATACAAACTTCATTCATATCCATCATTTCCTTCTTTTGAACACTTCTTCCATTGATCTGTTGTGCTGTTGAATCGTAATTCTATAATCGTCTGTATATCCTTATGTGGAAACTCATCTGAAGTTCTTGCCTTCCTTACCTATACCTTCACACTTCCACAATCTAATCGCATGGCTATTCTCTCTTAATCAGTGTGGGAAGCGCACATAACAATGCCTCTCCCACCAAGGCTTTTCCATGGCGATGTGGAATTGGGGAAACGAGACGATGATCATAGGCCTGGCTCGAAAACACCATTGGGAATGGCATGGCAACATCGAAGGCCACATGTTCAACGTCGATCAATCAAGAAGATTATAATAGGTCTGCTGGTCGGAATAGGTCTCTATTACTTCTATAAGAATATGCCGACAGATCTTCAGAATCCGCGACAAAGACCTCATTATACTCAGAATGGAGGAATTCCCGCGCAAGCTGGTTCCAGAGCTCCATCTCCGCAGCTCAATTCGAATCAAGCTTCGAAAGTAGATGACGATGAATCGACCGAGACAGGGCACAACTTTAATGGTCCCATTAAATTCTATCAATTGGCGACGACTTTACATGCAATGTCTAAGGTCAAAGGTTCTGATCCTGTCAATAACAATGTGGTATGTTCTCCGTTTGGCAAATGAGTATAATATTTCACAGCTAATATAGAGCTTAGTTATTTGCCGCCTCGAGTTTAAAGAGCGCTTCGACTTTGTTACCTATTGCATGCGAGATGGCATTGAGAGAAAGAAATTATGTACACTTTGCATTCATGGGAAGAGATGACATACCGATGGATATATTGAAATCTGTCAATGGGGTCAATAAGGATTGCCAGATCTTCTTTCATGGTATGAACTCTTTCCTGAAGGTTTGTTTGATATTCTAACACGATTAGACGCACGGCCAGATTATTCTCTGCAGAGTTCAGATTTTCGGATGGAAGTCAGTTGTTCTGCAGGTTTCAATCACATCAATACATTCGTCCATCCTCAAGCTGTTCTCATTGACGCATCTGAGGATGAGGATAATTTCTTACTGTCCGCCTTTAGGACCAGGGCCAATGCATTAGAAAGAACCTTGATTGAACTTCCTAAAAATATCGAACAAAATCTGATGTGGATCGTTCAATTAGATAGTGCCGCATTGAGTGGTGAGTACATCTTTGAAAAAGGAAACGTTCCCGTTTAGCTAATGTTTATAGCTTGGACCAAAATCAGCATTGATATAGTCGTACACGCGCAACCACAAAAATCTGGATCTTTAATCAGGTTACTCACATCTCTTAAGAAAGCCGATTATTTTTCCAGCAACATACCGCGATTAACGATAGAATTGCCGCATGACGTCGATGAACCTACCAAACAATATCTTTCGAGGTTCAAGTGGCCACCAAAGCGTAGTCAAGATGAGACTAGTCTCCTGACACTTCATCATCGGATCCCACAACATGGACTCACGCCCGAGGAAAATTCGATTAAATTCATGGAATCGTTTTGGCCTGCTGATCCTATGTCTGCTCATGTTCTTGTCCTTTCTCCTCAAGTCGATCTTTCTCCACTATTCTTTCATTACCTCAAATTTGCACTATTAGAGTATAGATACTCTTACAATAGAGCAATCGGCCAAAAGAATATGCTTGGAATAAGTCTTGATCTACCAACAACTTATCTCAATGATTCGGCGTCATTTACACCACCGTCGAGTACAAATCCTAGTCCATTTCTATGGCAAGCTCCAAACAGCAACGCTGCTCTTTATTTTGGAGATAAATGGGTGGAACTCCATGATTTCATAGCTAGATCAATGTTTTCCGAACATTCCTTACCTCCACCAGCCACCTTGAGAGAAAAACACGTCAGCAAAACCTACCCTTCGTGGTTAGAATATGTGCTTAAATTAGCAAGGGCACGTGGGTATTGGACCCTTTATCCTCATTTCGAGAATTGGGATGCCTTATCTACCATTCATACAGAACTATACACAGCTCCAGAGGAATACACGACTGAACCAGATGAAGCAACAGATTTCACAGCAAATCCAACGGAACATCTATCTTTAAAACACAAAGAAGAGCCATTGATTTCAGCGTCTTTGCAAACTCTCCTGTCGGATTTACCTATCGAAATAGCTGAAATGCCACTGATTGGTTGGGACGGTGAGAGTATTAGCCACGAAGAGCTACAATCAAAAGCCAAGGATTATAGTCGAATCTTTAGACACGAAATTGGAGGATGTGCCAATGGAGTGGCAGAGAAAGAAAGAAATTACATGCTTGCCGGAGATTTATTTTGTTCGGGAAATGAGCCATTGCAGTCTATGGAGCAGCCATTGGAAGCACCAGCGCCCTTGGTACCAAAGGCACCTTCCGTCTGGGATTCAAAGGACACTAACATCAGACCCGCCACAAAATTTGATGGTGAAGTTGCTGTTGAAGATAAGCCTTCTACTTGAGTATAATTAATAGTCTGTTTCATGGCATTTCAGTGATTGAAACATCCTGCTATGTAGAAACGGATTGTCACGACTTGAAGTGCGACAAATCGATCTAGAAGACTATTTGATCTTTGCGGAGATCAGCCTAGCCTTTCAAGTACACACCTTGATTGCTATTGGTCTTTGCTCGTACGGAGGCTTGTTCAATGCCAAACACAAAGAAAACTCCCCACGATTCTTGAAGCTACTCAGGCACCAATTTCGGGTTATTCCTTAACCCTTTCATATGTGATTCAAGTCTTTGGCTCTCTTGAAAGGAGGATGGTCCGACCTATAACGAGGGGTGGATCTTTTCAACAAAGAAACGATGTTACATCTCTGACTTAATTGGTAGCGATCTCGTGGTAATCCCACTTCTTTGTTCTATTTGACGCGGAGATACCTAATATTAATGTCGAGACAACACCGGTCCATAAGTTTTCGTGAAAGCCTCTTACTCTCACCTTCCTGTTACCCCTCCAATAGTGAGTATGTAAGATAGCCTGAGAATTTTTATGTTCTTCTAGTAAGTCAATTCGCTACGATTCTGGGCGGAATTACTAGTGCTTTTTCTTTATTGGAGATTGCTATATACTTGTTGTACCAATTTTCAGACAGCGTCAGTGTATCCTCCCTCAGCAGCATCATTCATTTGACTTCTTTGAAGACCGAATTTATATGTTGTCACTCACTTCTTGTAACGAGCAATATCATTCCCAATCGTGTCAAAAAGCAAGCAAAATTCCGTTCGCAAGCCCTTTATATGGAATGGCAGAAAATCATGAAACCACTTCACCATGCCATGGTAAATCTATTGATAAATCCCTGAGTCTAGTAACAGGTCTCGCGCCGCCCTCTCAACAATCTTATCCCCCTCAGCATTCCCAGAATCCTCAAAATCCCAACTCTGCATATCCGATCTCAGCTCCCCCTTTAGCACACTATAACCAGATCAATCCACTATCCGCTCTCCCTCTAACTCAAAATTATCCCCTTGCAATTAATCAACCACAACCATGTCAAACCCAACTCTTCAACCCTGAACATCATTACCTTCTCCTATCACTCTCTCGAGAAAACTTCAAAGCACTTTCTCTACGACAGAAAATTGCAGCAGCAGAAACTAGCCTCGCTTCTATACAAATAGCTGCGGAGTTGGAGGGCGCAGGGACGGGTATCACATCTCCTCTCTCCTCCATCTCTACACCCACGACACCGCACTCGCAGGCACCCACTCGTCGTAAACTAAAGAAACAAATCTCGTGGCTGAAATGTCGGATTAAGGAGTGTACGAGACAGGAGAAGATCTTGGTGGAGAGGTTCCAGCAGATCGGGGAGGAGGAGGAGAGGAGATGGAGATGGAGATGGATGCAGATTGAACGGCAGAGAAGGATTAATGAGGAGATGATGGAGTGGCAGAGGGGGTATTGGAATTGCTTTGTTCGTCAGGGTGGGTATGGATATAATTGGGGTGGATATGGATATGGATATGGATATGGTCATGGTCATGGGGGTATGTTGAATGCGAGCACTCCTGCGTTTCAGCCCAGTGGTAGTGTTAGTGTTGGTGGTGCTTGTCCTGGAGATTCAAAGACGATTGTAGGAGGAAGAAAATATTCAAATGAGTTTTGGAATACGGACGCGCCTGTTTTTTCCCCGGTTAATTTCTTTAAACCTTCTTCTTCTTCTATTTCTGTTTCTGCTCCTACGTCTACCGCTCCTTCTGGTATATCGCAGAAAATACAAAATGAAGAGAAAGAGAGACTTAGTAGGGGATGGGATGAATGCGAATTGTCACCTTTAGGTGAGGAAAGAAGAAAATCTTCTCTGAAATGGAGTGTGGAGATTAGAGATGGGGATAAGGAGGGGAATGAGAAGGAAATAGGAGATGAAGGAGAGAGTTCTGGAGAGGGAGAGGGAGAGGGGGAAGGAGAAGCGGGAGATTCTTCAACCGAAACGGCGATTACGACGCCCACTCCGCAACAGAGTGCGAGGATGTCGCCGATGGGTGGAGCGAAGAGTTGTAGTGATGTTATGCTGGGGGTTTTTGATGGGGAGATGGGTGACGAGGAGAAGAGAGGGGTGGATGGGAAGGAGGGGGTGAAGAGGGTGAAGAAATGGAAAAGTTTGCCGGGGGTGCAGAGGGGAGTGTGGGAGGGGGCTTGTGGGGGGAAGGGGGAGGGGGAAGGGAAGTTGTGTGGGAAAGAAGGTTTGAAGGGGAGGAATGAGATTGATCAGGTTTGGTAGGGGTGGTTTGCGTGTATTTTCATGTTGATGTTGATGTTTTTGGGGTTGGGTATATGATGATGATGATATATTTTGTGAAAGGATCTAAAGGACGATGATATGAATAGATGAGGATAGAGTGAAATGAAATGGATAGAATGAGGATGCGAAGAATGAGGATGAAAAGTTCTGCTTGTTGAAAGATTCGAATCACTATCAGATGGTACATGTGTATTTTTTGCTTTGGAGATCTTTTGTAACATTATATACATACCTGGGTATTTAATGCGGATTGTGTGTACATAGAATGGATATTTTTACCTGACAGTTTTGGATGGTAGATTTTATTGTTTGAAATTCTCATGGGAGATGGGATATACACGTGCTTTGAATTTTAGCCCATTACTGTAGATTGCATGGAGATGATACTTGTGATGTTGATTCATTCATATCTAATAAATTGACAATAAGTTGAGTTTCATGTAGATCTAGATGCTTTGAACTCCATTCCATTCTTTAGGCGCCTTGGATATTGTCCCATTATGAGTATTGAAATATCTTGCTCTGTATATGTGTTTGTGTGAGCTTTCTTGAAACCTTCTGGTGAAGACTGTAGGCTCGGGTCTAAACGAAAGGCCACGATTTGTATACCCGATTATCAGCTCCAGGTCACATCCTGCAGACGACAGTCAGTACCAGGCCTTGAAGATGCCTATCACTTTCGATTGAGGAGAGATTAATCTCTCAAGATTCCTTGGCAAGATTCCCCTATGCTTTGTCATCTCGTGTCCTTGCGCATCTCGTTTGTATCTTCATATCCATCTGTCTAGCTTGCTCACGATTGTCCATCAATAGTCCTCTATTGAAACTCTCCAAATTCTCCATCATCAAACCCTAATTCCTCAGCGGATGGTTCAGGTATTGAAGGTGCCTCCATATTATTCTGACTTAATCTCTTCTGAGCCTTGATCGCCTGTGCACTTGGAGGTGGTGGTAAAAATGCCCCCATACCTCCTCCGCCGGGCGGAGGAGGTAGAGAAAACCCACCCAACCCTTTCTCAGACTCTTCACTCTTTTTGGGTGTCCTCCTCCCCGCACCTCTCCCTCCAATACTAACCGTAATTGTCTCTCCCTCCTTCAAACTAAAATCCCTCTTCACCTCCGATTTCTCCTCTCCTTTCTTCACCCCCGCAGATGGTGGTTTACCTCCTCCTTGTTCTTCAATCCCCAACGTCTTCCTCACTTCCTGTAATGCCACACTAAAATCAAATGCTTCCGATCTCTCTTCAAATCCTATTCCCAGAACCGCTTTCATTCCTCCTTCTCCTTGCACTCTGACTGCGAAAAATCGTGAACTATCCAGTACTTGTTCTACCACACCCGTTACTGTGTATGGAGCTGCGGCAAATAACTGTCCATTACTTGGATCTTCTAGTAATATATCGGCTTTGACTTTCTCCTCGCCATTTTTATCCGGGATGGCTGTCTCGAGAATACGAACTCGCGCGGTGAAGATTTGTCGTTTGTTGTTGTCTGCAGTCCAGGTAGCAGCTACGTAGCCTTTGTTCGAGGTAAGAGGTGGAATGTTATAAACGTGGACTGAAGGCGCGATGAAGAGGATTCGTTGGAGTGCATCGGGTGGTAGAGGTCTACCTGTGGAGGGGTCGATAGTTTCCATGATTTTGAGAGGAGTTGTTTTATTTCTGGGTCGGGGGATTGCTTTCTATAGCATCATGAGAAAAACAAATCAGTTGAGACACACTCCTCTCTTTGAGGTTCCCGATGTTTGACTTTATGGTTGATGAGACAGAACTGAAAGTTCTACATAGTATGTGTGTGTGTATATATGTATGTATGTATGTATGGATGTATGTATGGATGTATGAATGTGCTCCATTAGAGGAGATGCTAGGTGTTCGGCCTTCTTTCCCCACAGCCTATCGTTGTATCATAAGGCTACACGTGACATGATCTCTGATTGGCTGACATAATCCTTCTCTTCTCTAATCATGAATTCATTGTTTCGATAATGCTTGGAGTCATGACTCTATTGATATTCCATATAACGAGTACTTTTTGGAGGAATCCTTACAAACCTACTTGAATTCTTGAAGAAATTCAAACGATAATCATCTACCAAAAATGAATCCAGAACCAGGTATGTCAAATCTATAAATTGTCAATGCGATTTTGATCATCCATTGCTCTAGCTAGCTCTTGCGCCGTCGAAAATCCATTTTGTGGTGCGTCACAGCCTTGCTCTTGCTAACAAAATTTCCCCTCCTCATTAGCAACACCTCTTTTCGAAGAAAGCTTTCGTAGTACAACTCCACCGGCACTTTCTGGATATCCTCCTGCTCTAAAGAAAATGGCTTCCATAGGAAATATTCCTCAAAAGAAGGATGCAAAACAATTCGAGTACATCTCTCTATATGCAATTCTCTAAAGAACCCCTCACTGACTCATAGCCCCTCAATCAGTATAGTAGAAACCTACCATCGACTTCTCAACGATGATCCCGATGTTACTATGCCAGTCGCTGCCATCGAAGCACTCATTGAACTTCTGGCTTGCTCTCGCGCAGTCACCGTTTACGAAACTCTCGATTTAGTTAAAACCCAGTCCGATTACCTGAAATCTCGCATTCCTAATTCCATATCATTATCTGCCGGAACGGATTTATTTCAAAGATATATGATACAATCTCTAAAACCTTCAAGTACCGGAAACTTCGAGACCGTGCGACAGCATCTTTTGAGCAATGGAAGATTGTTTGTTACGAGAGCAAAGCAGGCGAGATACAGTATTGCTACTTATGGGCGAAACTTTGTTAGAGATGGAAGTGTGGTTTTGACTCATGGAGGAAGTAGAGTTGTGGGAGCTTTATTAGATAAAGCTGCGGAATCGAGAGCTACTGGTGGAAATGTCAGATTTAACGTTATTTATGTTATGAATGATGCTAGGAGCGCAGAAAGTAAAGCTGTGGTTACATCATTAAGGGCTAAAGGTGTACCAGTTGCTACAATATCAGAAGGTGCTGTTGGATACGCTATGGGTAAAGTCGATTTAGTTATTGTCGGCGCAGAAGGTGTGGTAGAAAATGGAGGAGTCATTTCGAGATTGGGAACATACCAAATCGCATTATTGGCAAAAGCGGCGGGAAAACCATTTTATGTCGCTGCGGAAAGTCATAAGTTTGTGCGATTATATCCTCTAGGACAATATGATCTTGGTATTGATCAAGAAATTATCGATTTCCGTACCGAGGATGATGAAGGGGATAAAACTCCGAAAATTGAGGAGAAGTCGGAATATTTTGAGGCAGGCAAGATTGATATATCGAAACCGGATGCTGTTGATGCGGTGGACTTTACGGTAAGTGTTTTCTATCTGTATTTGATATAATACTGACTATCTTGTAGCCTCCAGCTCTGATATCCGCACTTATCACCGAATCGGGGGCATTGACTCCAAGTGCTGTTAGTGAGGAACTTATTAGTTTATGGTATTGAGTTGTGATTTGTTACGGATAGAAGGACTATGCAATATAGAAAGCTCATCCGCACAACCGATAATTTCATGGCGTCAGGAGTACAAAACAACTTTACCGAGACCGAATGATCGAAGGATGATCAATGAAGCTAATACCCATGAATGTCTTCTGAATTTGGTCAGATGATATGTAGGAATGTTGTACGATATAGGAGAGGGGTCGGACAAGAGTTGAGACTGCAGCTGAAGGGATACTTAGCATTCAACAGGCTGTGGGTAAATTACATGTAGGATGATGTCAAAGGTTTACCTATATATATCCCTGAATGGGGGGGTTAATTGAGAAGTCTAAATGGCAAAGAAACAAAAGATCAATATGGCTCGACAATGGCTCCTTGTACAATTAGGAAGTCTGAAGTGACGCGATGAAAACCATGTTTGAGAATCCGAAGTTCTTGAATCCTTTCCAGTGAGAATCGTTGTTGATATCTCAGCCGTTTGAGCCGAAATAGATATAAAGCTGAAAGCAGGACATTGAAGCAGGCAGATGAATTTCTGTAATGAAGGAAGCTGCTAGATAATTGACCAAAATTCCTAGGGTTGAAGGCTTCTCTTCGTGATTGGCGTAGTATACGATCATGTCGTTGAATATGAAGGATCGTTTGATTTTATTTATCAAAGTAGCTGGGTAATCAACCAAGATACATAAGATAAAAGTACCTTTACGGACCTACGTAGGCAAGATTATAGAAGAGCCCTAGAAATCAGCCTTACAGCCCTACATCTATCATATCATAGCATGGGTAATACGAAACATCATGTTATGTATCACATTTCATATACCTATATACACACAAATAGTATAAGCCTCTCGACACCCCCTGATATAGCCGAGCGCTTACTGCCTAGATAGTTACTCACATCAAATCACATCTCATAACATCAAATCAAACAAACTCCATATGCACCACCTCCACCTCCACCTCCACCTTCACTCCAGTACCATTTCAATTTTTCCCACAGCCTCTCTCCCACATTTCAACGCATCATTTGTATTTATATCTATGTAGAATACCCCCGCTCCCCCCTGACACATTACGACATGCCCAAGATGCATTAGATATTAAATATTGAATATTGAATAAATACTGTGCCTCTCTCCCTCCCTCTTATCTCTGAAACCTTTCGAACAACAGTTGTAAGACGAGATAATACAATGTTATACGTAAGTACTAACAGGTTGGGGAGGATGTTTTGACAGGTGGATGGATGAGATGAAATGAAATGAGATGATTTGGAGAGGAAACGAATGGTGGTGCGAGTAGGCTGCAGAGCCACGCATTGGAGTGTATCAGATGGGGTTTGGGGGAGGCGCAGAGGAGTGAAGGGTGGGAAGGGAGAGGGTGAGATTCGGTATATGGAGTGGAGTGGTTGTGAGTTTTCATTTCTGAAGGAGAGTTTTTATTTTTGTTTATCAGAAAGACTTCGATCTTTTGGCCTCGAAATGTTGTGTAGACTTAAAGGTTGAGATATCTTTCGATTCTCTATTTGCGCAATAGGATTTCATAACTACACATTTTTGATCTCTCACTAGGACATCGTATCCTCAATCAACATGTCCACTTTCAAGAATATTCTCCCCATCCTCCTCCTTGCTCTTCCTATGGCCATGGCAACTGTCGGTAGCGATTATCCTGAACCCCCATCGGATTCACAAGAACGAGATTTCAATACCGGACACAAGAGTTCTGTCACCATTCCCGTAATTATCAGCGTGGTCATCCTCGTGGTTTTCGTCATTATTCTAGTGACCTTGACGATGCTCGGTTCACGGAGACGAAGAGAAAGACGCACGCAATACGCGGGAAAGACGTATAATAGATCGGGAGTGAATGCGGCAGCTCCTCCTTATAGTGTTGTGGATGATGTGAATTTGCCGGCCTATTCGTATGCGCCGGCGAATGGGGAAACGGTTTTTGCTCAGCAATCATCGGGAATCGCACAGCCAGCTCCAGCACATGTTTCGAAGGATGTGGTTTGAAGATTGGGTTGTATATAATTTGATTTTGAGCGAAGTTCATGTGCAGTTTTTTTTGGGCATGATATGCCTGGACTTTAGGTCGTATGGTGTCTACAATGGCTTATTTCCGTGGTTTGAGAAGCTGGATAGATGATGATGGCGTTGATGCAATGTCTTGTTTGTTGATTGAGTGTTCTTCAATAGAATATTTGTGATATCCAAATTACATCTCCCAACACCCATCCCAACGCTCTCTGAACTTTTGTGGAATTCTATAACACTGTTGTTTTGGGCCCGGCGAGCCATCGCATGCCAAAAAGTGTAACCTAGAATTGTTTCATGAAGAGACCTCGAGATGAAAGATTTGCCAATTTGATCTTTCATACATGAGGTAAGAAATGTGGTTTAAATTTCTTATTCGCACGATCTGCTGCTCGATGCATAAATTGTTCACCATGTAGTTCAAAGACCAATTCTGTGACGGAATTTCCATCATCCTCTGACTCGATATCCTTCTTGGTCGCCTGGATTGGTACCGTAAACTTGAAAATGGTATTTTCCTTTGGCAGAACCTTCAAATCATTATTCTTCGTGATAACCTCGAAAACTCCCTTGGAATCTTTAATAACAATTCCCTTTACACCAACTCTACTCACACATCTACTTCTCACAACCTCAAGTTCCGCTCCATGATAATCCGCACTGCACAATTTAGCAGCCGCAGATCCAGTAACTGGCATACAATTTTCTCCTCCCAATACTTCCGAAATATATCCTAACCACATTTTGTTCAAAGGTTCGTAAATGTTGTATTTTTGGGCCGATTTAGGTATATCGTATAGACATAAAGCGCGTTTCTCTCGAGCAGATAGAGGGGCAGGCTTCAATTTCTTTCTTCGTAGAGCCAATTTTCGCTGTCTTTCGAGACGACGACGTTGTTGTTCGTTATTTGGTTCTGTGGGTTTTAGATGCAATGGTCGTTGTTTGACTTTTTCGGTGAAGATACGACTTGAAGTATCTGGTGAATGCGCTCGCGACAATAATTGCGTCGCTATGTTATTATCCTTCGATGCCATCTTTTCTGTTCTGTTCTGTTCGTAGTTGAAATAAATTTGTCGCAAAATATCAGACGCTTGAGAAGAAGGCCAGAGCTACCAAAATTCACATGCTAGAAATACAGTTCCACAGTAAGACATGGACGCTAAACTAGTTTTGGTGACCCCAGATTTCGCTGTGGTCCTCAAGGCAATGGATGGCGCGCTCCGGCGTGCCTCACTCACCGAGGCTTAAATATTTAATTGACAATGCTTCATCGCACCTAGCAGGCTTGCGGTAATAATGCGTATGTTTGTTTTCGGCATTCGATAATACTGTGCGACAACGATAATATGATAACATCATCTTCCAATATCGATCAACATGGCAGACAACAAAACCTCATCTCCTCCAAGGACTTCGGCTCCTGATCTCGAAATTTTGGGTGATCAAGTAACATTGCATCCTAGTGGTTACATCGAACCTCCGGAACGACCCCACGATGGAGAGAAAGAAAGGAATTTGGTGGAGCACATGGCTAGATTTAGGTCAAGTCCTCTGGAATTTCTGAGAGAGGTCTCTTTACATGTTTCAGGAGTAAGTACTTTCACTGATGCGCATAAATCATCCATTGCTGATATCTAACGCTCCTACAGACAGGATGGCGTGCCTACGATCATTTCATCGGACAACCTATATTTTATCCTGGATTCTCGGAAAATATGACAGCTGCGGTCATGTCTACACCTATTTTACAAACACGAATATCTGAATTGGCCGAGAAAAGGATAGGAGTTGAGGAGCAGGAAGGTTTATTGAATGCAGATGACCCATTGTACCATTCAAAGAGATCACAGAGGAAATCTGCCATTGAACAAAGTTTGCAAGAGCTTTCGGAAAAGTTGACGAGCGATATGATATGCAAAATGGAAAGTAGGCCATTTATCCGAGGAGCTTATTACCTATGCACTCAGCTCTTGACAAGAGCATATCACCAAGGCAAGATAATCTCACATAGCCCCTGGTTTGCTCACTAATGATTATGTAGGCATTCATGTGTCCAGCGAGGAAGTCCTGAGATTACGAAATGTTGCCGAAAAGGCACAAAAAGACAAAACATCCATAATTTTCCTTCCATGTCATAGATCTCATGTAGATTATGTTTCTTTGCAACTGATTTGCTATCGATTGGGTATCGCATTACCAACAGTTGTAGCTGGAGATAATCTCAATTTTCCTGTCGTGGGGAGCTTCCTACAACATGCTGGTTAGTTAATATCCCCAAGTGCTCTTGACATATAATAATTTTATAGGGGCCATGTGGATACGTAGAAGTTTCGGAGATGATGCTCTATATACCACTCTTGTACAATCATACATAGATACCCTTCTACAAGGTGGCTTTAATTTCGAATGTTTCATCGAGGGAGGTAGATCAAGAACTGGAAAGTTGTTGCCTCCCAAATTCGGTATCTTGAGTTTCATCCTAGATAGTATTCTTTCAGGTCGAGTCAAAGATACAATCATATGTCCTGTCAGCACTCAGTATGATAAAGTCATCGAAACCGAAGGTTATGTTGGTGAGTTACTTGGAATTCCTAAGAAGAAGGAAAATTTAGCCGATTTCCTCTCGGCATCATCAGTTCTTTCTCTAAAATTGGGTCGTGTTGATGTCCGATTTCATGAACCTTGGAGTTTACGAGATTTTATATTGCAACAACAAGCTCGATCGCTGGGAATACCAAAGACGCTTGATTTTGAGAGCATCAATGTACCTAGTGTTCGGCAAAAGCTACTCAGAACTTTGGGTTACAAAGTTCTATCCGATATCAATGCAGTTTCGGTTGTCATGCCTACTGCATTGGTTGGAACGGTATTATTGACTTTGAGAGGCCGTGGTGTTGGAAAATCTGAGTTGATTCGTCGAGTCGAATGGATCAGCGAACGAGTTAGAAACAAGGGCGGGCGAGTGGCTCATTTTGCCGGCGCTACCACATCTACAGTTGTTGAGCGGGCTCTTGAGGTTCTTGGTAAAGATCTTGTAGGCAGGGTAGATGGGTTGGCTGAAGAAACCTACTACGCTGTCGATCGATTCCAACTGTCTTTCTATCGAAACATGACAATACATTTGTTCATCTCCGAAGCACTAGTTAGCGCCAGTATGTACATGAACGTAAAGCGTGGTGGAGGGAAAGTTCACCAAAACATCTCATATGAAGACCTTCGAAGTCAAGTTCAATTTCTCTCTCAGCTATTTAGAGGTGAATTTATCTACCCGACAGAAGGATTGGTTGTCAATCTGGACAACACATTACACGATTTAGAAGCCGACAATATTGTTGAACTTATTCGAGATACAGAGGGGAAGGTATTGACTGTTGGTTTATCTGATCATGAACGTTCCGTTGGACGCGAAAACTACGATTTTTACTGTTTCTTGATATGGCCATTCGTCGAAGCATTTTGGCTTGGTGCTGTTTCTCTTATGGGCTTTACACCACCTCCAAGCAAACCGAACGATGTTTGGTTGGAAGTCAAGAAAGCTCATGACGGCGCTCAATTGGTAAGTCTCTTTATGTTGTTTGCCGTCCATGACTACTTACTAATGATTTCAAGCTTGGCAAAACTCTTTATCACCAAGGTGATCTATCTTACTTCGAAGCCGTTAATAAAGAAACACTTAAGAATGCATATCAGCGTTTTGAAGATGAAGGCATTGTGATAGTATCTAAGAGTAGAAATTCCAAGATCCCACCACGATCTCGACTTGCTCCCGAATGGACACCACAGCGAAATCCTGAAACTAGTATGATTATTGCAGAAGGAAAATTATGGGATTTTATTGAAAAGATTGCGAAGTCAAGGCGAGAAGGAAAGAATAGACGAGACGGAGCAACTGTATCAACAAGAGTCTTGAGACTTGCGGATGAGTTGGGTCAGACATTGTTTGCCGAAGGATCTGGGGATATAGGGATGTCAGAGGAGGACAAGGAGGAATTGCAAAGAAGAGAAAAGAGAAGACAGGCGCTAAAGGCTAGAGCACACTTGTGATATATGTTTGGATGTATTGTACTTGATACCAAGGATTTAATTGGGATATTTTATTTGATACATGGGTCTGTTTTTTTATTTTCTGGCATTGCTAGAAGTTTATTGCCGCTCGCCGCGTGGGCTTTGATCCGAGTAAGGGGAGTATTGCGAGGACCAGTCATTGGCGAAGACGATGCGCTGGTAACTAGTTGTGAAGTTGGCTGGGCTAGGAAGCTGGATAGTTCGCAGGCTTCATCGAATATAGAAGGTCGCAAACCTGATCATAAATTGGTTTCATAGAACCCTTTTCGTGAACAGTTCACCCACTGCAAGGAAGGGTCGTAGGCTTTACTCGGCAAGTGCTTGGTCATTAGCATGTGTCTGCCATCTTTTCTTGTCTCATCGTAGGGCCTTCTGACTGTCGCTGAAAATGTCATTGCATTTGTTTTCTGCTGCAGATGCTTTTACCTGATGTTTGATGTTCAGTACTTTGGAAAAAAATAGATTTGCAAGAGCGTGGTAACTTGCTTTGATCGAGCTTCTTTGCCAGGAGTTGGAAATCCATTTGAATGATCAGGTCATGTTTTCAACGTTTTGTCGTGTTACCATATTATATACACCACTTGAACACACTGTGTTGCAACAAGATTCACTCGACGTATGTCCATTATCTTTTCGCTTTTGGTAGATCGAAATCGTCATTTATTTACCTATACACATATCTTTTCACTTCTAATATTCAACAACTCCAGATATATTGTGGTTACTCCAAGTCAGATCGGGGAACGAAAGGATAGCTATGAGATTTACATTAAATTCATGCTTACGGTCAGTGACAACGATATATCAATCTACAAGAAATCGATGGCGCTCCTCTGAAACTCGTCGTCGTTGTTCACGTTATCTTCGCCATTTTATCAAATTGCCGCTTTTCTATATATGGTTCAACATGTCATTTATTTCGAACTTTCGGCTTGCGTTTAACTACTACATTAGTCTACCATGCGGTCTCAGAATCTAATAGAGATCACGGCAGCCTAGGAATTCTCGCTGGCTATTGTAGAGGTGGCTCTAGCAAAAGAGAATGGGCTTGGTACAGAGCTTCCTTATATGCGCTGCAATTGGTTGACTAAATCACATTAGCTGTTGATCTTGATCCTACAATTTTGACACAATCTTCAAGTGAATAACATGCGTGAATGCAATGAAATAGGAATCGCGCTCTTGACATGTGGACAATGGGAATTTGATCTTCGAACTCGATCATCATATCTATTTAAGTATCCTCCATCTTGATATCTCTCCAACCATGTTCCGCTTGCAAGACTACGTAAAATGTAATCTAAGGAGCCGCAAATCTCTCTTCCTGGTAGCACCAAAAGAGTGATATTATGATTGTCGATGCGGGGATATCTGATCGTCTCTTATATCGGCCCATAGAAGTTTGTGAAATTACTGCCATTGAGATGGGTGATAATCGCTTTTTATTGTCAATCTCAACGTGGTAAATCAATGCTAAGATTTTCCCGTCCACCCTCGCTTCGTTCAATTTCGAGACCCTATTCCGCCCGACAAAACTTTAAATTTGCGAACACAGGGACTTGCCTTGTAATTTGGGTATCGCAGCCCTATATACAGCCCATGCGTTGGCTAAATAGATTAAGTCTTCGGCACTCTCACTTAGGGTTCTAGCACACGTTCACCATCTCTATTCCTCCTAGTGCATCTCTCATACCTTGATGTCGCCCAATCACGGTGGATAGAGCTTTTACTTCGAAACTCGAGTTCTATCTTCTATGTATGAAGGTGCTCTTAGATCTTCGAATTAAGGACAGGAACAGCCACGAAGATAGTGAGAACACACACGCAGAAGGATTTCCTTCCCCAAACCCCACTTCGTCGAAAGTTAGGTATCTTCTCTTCTAATAAGTCTCAATCATCTCATATCTTTCATTCTGAGTATATTTCATCTCATACTGTCAACAATCTCGCCACTGTCGTCGCTATCATTTTTCTGCTACTCTTGTCTCATCTGCTCACCATCATGAGAAATCTTCTATCATTTCGCTTGAAATAATCTTAGGCATGGCGTCCAATAGTCCGGACTGCAGTCCAACAAAGAAGATTATTAAAACCTCCAAACCAATTAGAATATTAAAATCATACAAGATATTAAATATTATTAGAACATTGAACTATTTTCGAATTTTCAACTGCTTTTAGATATCCAAAACCTTAAATTGTTTTATTGCTGTCGGGCTATTAGACACCCTGATATCGATCTGTAACTAACAGCAGCTTATTATACCAGATAAGATTTACGGTAGATAGGGAATTCGGGGTAACAATCTCTAAGCAGATTGGCTTTATGTCCACGCGTATCTGATACGAGATAGCTCTGGCTGAAGCATCTCTCGGAGAACTTTCGAGTTTGAACTTTCCATTTGAACCTCAGATACCATCAAGGTACGAAGAGCCATTGCCTTTGTATTGATATGTTGAGGTATGCGACAAAGCCTTTTGAACTCCATGGTACTGAGTATAGTAACGCCTAGCGTTTTTATGATTAGTGTTCGGCTCTGATGACCCTGTTTTCGATGCTTTCAACCAGATGAAGTCATTTAGTGGTAAATACAACCGACTTTTTAGGGATTTAATACCCAAAACTCGAGACTATTGGCTTGGGTCTCCATTCACTGTTTGGATCGCTGTAATGATCGTGTGGGGAAGGATGTTATAGAATCCGAACTGTTTGTTCAAAGAAAGATGGTACTTTGAAATAATTTGTTGCAAGTCAAATGATGAATGAAGAAGAGGCAGACGAAGACTAATCAGTCTAATCCTATTGTAAAATAGTAATGTGGTTAATGTCAGGGGGATTAGATCGTATCTGCAAGTTGTCAAAGTGAGGGGTGCTCGCAATCATGTGTTGGATTGAGCGGGGTACCATAAGATAATGGTCAGCGATTGGAGACATTGAGGTGGGCTGTAAGATTACGATATTGGCTTGGTGGTAAATCTGTAGCTAATAATTTGAAGAACCAGTCATTTTTGTCAATCACTTTGATCCAATTCCTATCCAGATATCTGTCGGTACCATTGATACTTATTATACTTGGGGTAGACCTATACGTGGATAGGCCCGCGTAAGTTGTTAGATTGATTGACTCCCCTAATGAAATCAGATGAACATCTTTTCGATCAATTGTAGATCATATCGTGAATCATTGAATACTCCGTAGTCTATCTTGGCTCAACGATTGGGATTGGGATTCGAGAAACAAAGTACAGCAGGCACTTGTCGTGAGCACGGAAGTGAGATAGAACCTCGAGTAGACATGTCACTCAAATGCTCAATGGAATGTATAGTAAGGTAGGAACATGCCTATGTCTCAAAGAATACCTTTCGATTGACAGATTGCGAGATATAGCATTTATAAACGATTCCTTTCGTTCCTGATTTGCCTCGTAGATTGTATCAATCGATCGATGCAAAAGATGAGATCTAGACAGTTCGGATTATGGAGAGCCGCCAGTCGACAAGTTAAGTTAGATGGGCGGTAAGGTTATCTAAATTTCTATCCATAGAAGCAAAGTAAATTAAAGTGTGCCGAGGCAAGAACGGTCGAGGACTTCCTATTGCGGGAGGTGGGAAGCTGTGACTTTTATCCTTCTAGGAAGGAAAGAGGAACATGGCAATCAAACCGTTAGCAGATAAGGCGTGAAAGCTTGAGTTTTGGTTGCAGAGGATCCATTGTTGCTAAAAGACCCTAGTATGCATAACTGTTAATAGCCGATGGTGGAGCCGGCGCGGCATACGTCGCCGAGACGGGAAGCTACAACTTGGCTGGCACCAACAAAGCTTGTATTTTGTATAGATGGAGTTTCTTCGTGAAGAGATTTCGAGATAGCACGGGATTAGATCAATTTGAATGAAAACGGTTGCCCCTCTCACTAAGCCGAATGTGTGTGGGAAATGAACACCATCAGCCGTGCTCTACACCCCAGAAATAGAAACTCACACATATTTGTGAAGCCTGACTTCTTCCCCTTAACATGGCAAATGCCGACATTGAACCTTTTCTATACTGACCTGCCAAGAACAGTAAGTCTTATCTTTGAAATGCTTCGTTTCAATGAACAACCTGTATATCGTCGTTCAACGCAATACATGGTGATAATACGCCATCAAAGCTTTTGATCGTGACCTTCCTTTCCAAGATGGGGTGAGGGATTAGATCAAGCATCAGGCACGGGTCACTGGTGAGACTTGGAGTATAAATAAGACGTCTCCATCTTCCTCTATCTCATCATCCTCACAGCTTCATCTTCTTCCTTGACTTGCCTCACCAGTTCCTGTACTTCTTGCACCATGTTGTTCACCAGCCTCCTCGCATTCGCCGGCGCCGCTGCCGTATCGGCATCCCCAATTGACCAAATCAAGTCTGCCGTTCTTCCCTTGGCCAAACACCACAGCGTCACCTCCATCAAGAACATCATTGACAAAGGTCAAGCCCGTCTCAACAAGATTAACGGTATTACAACCACTGAGAAACGTGCCGGCTCTGGCGCAGTCACTAACGATGATGTCTCCTACCTTGCCCCAATCGTAATAGGAGGTGCCACATGGTCACTCATCGTCGATACTGGATGTAAGTTACTTCTCCCATCTTCTCTTGAAACTCTATGCTAATGATTCTACTCAGCCTCCAACACCTGGTGCGGTGCTCAGGCTTCTTGCGAGAAGACTTTAACTGGTGTATCCAGTGGTGGTACCATCTCCGTCTCTTACGGAAGCGGTTCGTTCTCCGGACGAGAGTACACAGACACTGTCAGCTTCGGCGGTCTCACCGTCAAGTCTCAATCCATTGGTGCTGCCACGAGCGCTTCTGGATTCTCTGGCGTCGATGGTATTCTCGGTGTTGGTCCAGTTGACCTTACTGAGAGTACCGTTTCTGGTCTCTTTACCGTTCCAACCTTCATGGACAACCTCAAGTCCCAAGGTTCCATCGCTAGTGAGGTTCTTGGTGTTTACTTCAAGCCAGAATCCGGAAGCGATGCCGACGACAACAACGGTGAGCTTACCCTTGGTGGTGTTGACACTACCAAGTACACTGGTACTCTTACCTACTTCCCCAAGGCTACATCTGGCCAGGCCTCATACTACTGGGGTATCAACATCGCTGGTTTCACTTACGGCACTACCACCCTTGCAACATCCGCCACCGGAATTGTCGACACTGGAACCACTTTTATCTACATCCCAACCGCAGCTTACAACAAGTTCCTCGCTGTCACTGGCGGTCAAACCGAGAGCTCTAACGGTATCGCTTCCTTCACAACCAAGCCAACAGCCAACTTCTCCATCAAGTTCGGAACCACCACTTACAGCCTTACTCCCGCACAATACTTGGTTCCAACCGCCCAATACTCCAACTTCGGTCTTGACTCCGACAGTTACTACGCCTGGATCAGCGACGGAGGTTCTTCCGGTGTCAACACCATCATCGGACAGAAGTTCTTGGAGCAATACTACTCCGTCTTTGACACCACCAACTCCCGCATTGGTTTCGCCACTGCCGCATAAAGCAGCATGGATTTGGCTTGAAGAACGTAGTTAGAATCTGGCACCTAGTACATAGCAAATTTACATTCAGTCAATAGTGTTTCGTTTTAATATTGACATTGAACCTGTGATTAACCAATTGATTTCCGAAGACGTGATTTCCTCTTGAGTATAGTCTAATCCGATCAACATTCCTTCTACCAGTATATTAGCCCATCAAATAACAACATCAACAAGTGTAATTTCAAGAAGTGATACCGCATATTAAGTGAAGACGAACAAAAATAATGGATTGATAACTCGAAACTGGTATCAGCGTATGCGAAGTTTCTTTCACACAAGCATGATCCGAAAGCTGTTCGATAATACCTTGGAAGCGGCGCTGGCTTTTAGGGAATCAGCGAAGCATACACATCAATAATCAAACGATCAACTTATGTGAAATATGATTATAATCTCATGTGGCAACATTTCATGTATTGATACCTCAAATCTCAGAGTTTATAAGAATAAATCAACTAGAACTAATATGTACCAAACCCCAAACATCATCTATACTAATCGAGAAACTAATACATGAAATATCACTCTACAAGTTTGTAACCGCAAAAGGTATCATCAAAGAACAAGATCCTCGACCTCATGATTCGCGCTGCCTTCAGGATTTTAGAACAAATCGTTCTGTCTCCCCATATTGGATCCCAGAGGACTAGCAGAGTCTCATTTGATTAATATTCGTGGAGCACCACGACACCGACGTTTAGATATCCTTGATGAGACTGGCTTTGTGAAACCCGACCTATCTGTTCCTGAGCTGAGGACAAAACGGCCTTGTAACACATAATACATGCAGAGCCAGAATGCAACAGACGCATGCGACTTGAGTAGCCCTTAAATTCAACCTTAGCAGAGAATGGGTGAAATCACCCCATTGTATATATCTCCAGGTAGGTATCTCCAGATATCCAGGCACTTGCTTTGCGAGAAGATCCACTCGATACCACAGTGCCATTTCCAAACCATCTACTCCTCACATCCCCCACCCATCGAATTCCCACATATCTGATGACGAGAGGAGCTCGCGATAAATCGCAATGCCATGCTTTAACAGGCACACAAACATTTACAAAACCCCAAACATCCACTCGAATGCACCCGAGACTTATACAGGAATAAGTTCAGCAAACTATCCAGCTCCAATGAGAACTCTGCTGTTGAGGGTTCCAGCTGCAATCCTACAAGACCATATTGTAGGAATCGTATAGAACCATCATGCCCCCTTTCTCTCGATCTATGAAAAATGCAAACGTTTACAACTATGCGAATATCAGAATTCATAGCACCGGAACCATAGCCTATATGAAGGGAATCCCAAGTACACGCATGAACAAAATAGGGTTTATCAAGTACAATCCTGTTGTTGAAACACAAATGTGTACTGTGCTGTAAACTTTCGTACGCAAAAGAGTTCCAGCCAGCAAACTCTGATTGTCAATTTGGTAGATGTTAACAATGTAAAGGTGGGACAAGCAAGGTGAGAGGAAGAATGAGAAACCACTGATAAAGTTTGGATAGCGAAGCAGGATTCCAAGAACCTGGATCTTGTCGACTTTGAATGTTGTTTTTCCGAGAATATATGAGAATGAGAATTTCCAGAATGCAAAATGGAAAGAGATAAGAAAGATGATATAAATGAGTTCTAAATTGTGAGTATGGATACGATCTAGAAAATTGCGTATGAGGTAGAGTTTCATCCGCACCCGCTTTTTTTATATATAATATACATTCATAATATGGTCAACCTTGAATCCTGATAGTACCGAATTATCCTAGTACCCATGGTAACATGCTTACACGCCTCTACTCGATTTTAATGGCCAACTTGCCAAAATGTTTCTGGTCCCACATATATTGATAAGCCTCCTTAAGCTCCTCCAGCCCGAAAACCTTTTCATCAACCACTGGTTTGATTCCATTTGCATCAATTGCCCTGTTCATGTCCTCGAACATTTCTCTGCTTCCTACGAGCAAACCTCTAACCGTACAGACGTTTGTCAAACAGTCCAAAAACCCTGGCTCCTTTTCTTTTGCTTGTCCGCCCACAAAGCCAATTATACTGATAACTCCGTCGATCTTGATGGCTTTTAGAGATTGTGCCATGGTAGTAGGACCGCCGACTTCGAGAATGTGCGATACGCCAGCGGACTTGGGAGTAAGGGATTTGGCATGTGCACCCCATTCTGGAGTGGTTTTGTAATTGATTACATGGTCGGCACCGAGTTTCTTGAGCGTCGAAGCTTTTGACTCGGAGGAGGTTGTGGCAATTACCGTTGCCCCAGCTGCTTTGGCAAACTGGACAGCGAATATGCTAACACCACCAGTTCCTTGCGTGAGAACCACATCTCCAGACTTCAGCGGCTTTAATCCGTGAAGAGCATTCCAGGCTGTGACGGCTGCACATGGCAGAGTTGCTCCTTCGAGGTATGAAAGGGAGGAAGGCATATCTACGAGCCCATTTTCGTTAAAGATACCGTGTTGACGAAGTGTACCATCCATGGCACCACCCAAGCCGCTTTGCATAGATAAATGATCGAGCGAACCGCCATAGTGAGTTTGACTGAAAAGAGTAAGGACCTTGGCCCCGGGGGTAAATCGAGTTACTTTCGATCCAACAGCAAGAACTTCGCCAGCACCATCGGAGCCGGGAATTATGCCATCTCTGAGTGCAAATGGATATTGGCCCTAAGGAAAAAAATAACTGGTTAGTTTCACCTACGGGAGCAGTGTTACCCCAAGACACCAATGGTCTTGCAAACTTACTTTGGGGATTATCAAATCTCTGTAGTTTAATGAAGCAGCATGAAATTTCACGAGAACATCGTTGGCACCCAATTCTGGAAGTGTAGCTTGAGTATCATATTTCAAGCTCTCAAATCCGTTGAATCCTTCGATTCTCCAAGTTTTGGTGGTTTGGGGGATCGATTGAGACATGTTGATGAGTTGTTAATGAAATATATATATATATATATATTTATAAACGTGAGTATAGTACGAGGTTCGACAAAGGGGAATATAAAGCTGTTAATGGTGTCAATGTGATGAAGATGTGAGCAGATATATACCAGTACAAAGAAAATGATCGTTAGGATCACCCCGCCTTGGTGGATTGTTAATGATCCACAACCTCCTATCTCCTAGTTTGATAATGTAGACACATCGGAGATATGATTCTTGGCCATTGACATTGTTTGATGGTATTCTCTTTGATGGAGAAGTTTACTTAATCAGAAACGTTTGATTCCTCATCGAGAAGAAACTACTCGTACAAATCCTTTGATACTTTAGTAATAACCTTAACATGGAGGAATTGCCGGATCAGAAACCAAAGATTCATCGGCACAAAATTGAGCAAACAGAATGGCCATACGTGAACTGAGTTTCAGGAAGGTTAAAGCGGTATTCCATAAGGAAGTGGAATAGATCAAATAGATGGCCATCTTGTCATGCCTTGATATCCTTTTGAGGTTATTCTCAGTAATGAAGCATGTTTGATAGCAAGAGAGATGACGTCTAGAAGCCGAGATATGAGCGAACTAAACTCTATCGAAGATCACATGATCGTACTGGACCTCTAATGGCTGACAAATGATAAAATTCTACTCGTCACTTTGCAAGTAAACCCCCCATCAACAAAACAAAAACTTGCCACCTGGGCATTCCACGAAACGGTTTCAAGTACTCGGTAAACAGGTATGTACACTGATATTTGTACTGTATAGGTATGTACACTCATCGTACGCACGAGATAATCTCAACTATCTACTAAACACATGAAACATGTCGTATATTTACACCAGCTACTGCATAACGAGGCCTTCATAATTCTCAGAGACTTTGTTCCTAGGCAGGATACTTCAAGTGCCTATGAACAGACTTTGGATTCTCATCATGCTTATCATATTCATCTGTGAGGAAGAGCAAAAGAAAGCAAAGGAAAGCAAAGGAAAACAACTAAAACAACAGAATTTCAGACAAGGTTGACATTCGGGATCGGGCATCCATTCATTATCAATTCGGCTGTACATGTTCGGCAGTCCCCTTTATTATCATTTCGAGAAATAACATAATTCACATGCTTGTCATGAAGCTCAATGCCTTCGAGGTACTACCCTTAGTAACTTTCAAAGTACCTTCCCAAGTAGGTAGGATCTCAATACAGTCTAGAATTCAATAACATCTGTAGGCATAACCATGGAGATTCGGCTTAAGGTAAAGAAGTTGAAGTTGGGATTGAAGAGATGAGTATTGGGTTTACAAACGCCCCAACTGGCTGACCTCGTAACATGTGGTTTAGTGATGGCGTTCCTGGCCGCTGACATTTCAATAGGTACAAAAGTCGCACCGTTAAATCGACTCGAAAAAATCATTCCAGCAAGGATGCTGGCAGGATGGCTTTCTAGAATTACTAAACCTACGTGGTAGAATCGTGGTGGTACCGTATACACCTGGTCCAACCTTACAATACTGCGACATTGATCTCATGTCGACTTCAAATGCAGTACCACATCGCCTCGAGTTATTCAGAGTGACACGACATCAGAATTGTCACTCGAGTTGGCATGCCATGTCATGGATATCAGCGTCTGACCTCTAAAACATGTCCCAACACTCATTGTACAATTTCGGCAATCTCCCTATGAGAGCATCTTTTGCATTGAAAAAGGCGTTTCTGACGGTCTTGTTCAGCATGTTTGTTAACACGTGTGGCTGGGGCGAAATGCATCTTGCTTTGTGATCCCATCTCAATTCCATCCTAGTTCCAGAATGGAATGTACTAAGCCATCAAACTGTTTCGAATTCCTCCGATATCAATCTTTCGCCATCGAAGGACCGATATGAGTTTCTACATTGGTAACCATTTTCCGACCCTCCAAAGTCGTGTTTGGTGCGATCGAAGATTCAGGTCGTGATCACCATATGTTAAGAAAGCAAGAAGTAAGAATCTTCAAGTCAGCTGGTGTTTGAGAGTGAAGAGAGTCAACTAAAAACCATAAGATTATCAAGCTGTGAGACTTATGGCAAGAGGCTCATTGATCTGGGGTAAAAAAGGTAAAAAAAAGGTGCGGGAACATCGGCCCATTCACCGCAGCGCTTCTTTCACAGTGCAGGTTTCACTAGAACGTGGAGTAATCGGAGATTTTTCCGTGGTTTTAATGTTCAATATTGGTCAATTTGTTCCTGGAAAATCAATATATCGGTACACGGGTCCAGGCATTTCTTTTACTCATGATTCGACAACCTCACGAGGCACTTATGAATTTAGGTTGAGAAAAAGGGGTCCCCGGGATATTCTCAATGTATGAGAATGGCACGTATATTTTCATCTTGATAACCTTTTTTAGTATATCGCGCCAGTATTAAGATTTCCACCTCGATGGCGGCGGATTTCGGCTCTTGAAGAGACACGGGCCATGTTGCGCTTCTCGGGTGGCTGGCTAAGGCTTATCGTCTAACTTAATTTCTTTGACAACCTAGACACGGAGTCCGAGACGAAATGCCTACGTTATATCTGATCCTGGCACATGATATTACAAGGGACAATGGAAAGTAGGATTATCACATCTAGATACCAACCATCTGCCACCCTTGGATGAATGAGAGAAATGAATGATTCGCATGATGACGAAATCTAATGTCACCTCGACAGAGATGGACTGAAAAAGAAAGGATGTACGTACCGGCTCTGGAGAAGAACAGAGTTACTTCTGATTCTCAAGGGAATGGGGGAATTTCACGGGGAAATTTAACATGGATCTCCTCGGGACTCCGCATTTTGGTCCTACTAACAGCTGCACCTGCATATGGCAGTTCCAATTTTCTCACGCTTATCAAGGCCTCGCAGCTGGTAATACGTGGGGATTCTTTTGATCTGGAGAGGGATGGACCTTCAGGATTCTGTTGGGTGTGCATATTGCATGCTGCACCCTTTGGAAAGCCTGACGTGATCCGACTGTTACCGACCTTGGAGATGAGATAGAGTGAATTTATGAATTGTTTTTATTGATCACGGCTTAAAATGTGACTTTGCTTACGAGCTTTCATCAAATCAACACAATCAACATGGGGTCGCCAAGAAGTTGGGGTCGGGCACAGAGTCACATTGGGATTAGAACAACATATATAAACGTGCAAGCGAAAGCATGTGCAGACGAGCAAGCTCGAATAAGGACGAGGAACATCGGACCGTTTGGTGCTTGGATGGTCAAGTAACCAGGAATACCCACTAACAATTCATGAGAACAATACTGGTCGTACCATATCCGATTCCTTTTCGGTAAGTAAGTATGTATGAGAATTGACATGCATTTAGCACCAGCTAGACTCGAGTACCTAACCTCGCTAACGTACTCTTTACTATCCATAATCTCATTGCCGTGTCATGAATGTTGTTTGCATGTGCTTGTTGCATTGATCTTCCCAGAAAATGTGTGGTTGTGTTCGGGAAGATGCTGCGAATGGAATGCAGCGTTGAAGATTGGAAACTGCTGACCATAAAGCCAGAATTTGGATTGACGATTGAAGTGTGGGGATCGTGTGTGGTGCCCGAAAGGAAGTTACCTCGGGCTGAAAAGGGCGATCAGAGAGGGGGGCTTGATGTACCTCACATCGAGAATATTATGCGCACAATTAAGATGGATTACGATGGAACATTTATTTTGAATTCAATATTTGAGTACATGAGAAAAGTATCCAGAATATTTAATACGGCTGGTATAAAAGTGGACACTGAATCAAATGCTGATGTTTCATTGGCGCATTAATTGTCAAGATAGAGTTGGAACACAAGACTCATACCGAGTACATACACATACACACACTACCAAAACATAATATCTAATCAGAAAAAAAACAAGCAAGCAACTAAGCTTTCACTGAGAAATGTACGAGTGCTTGCACATCACATTACGGATCTCAGCACCGTATCATCACTAAATTTACGCCACCCACTTTCACCTCTTCTTTCGCATTTGTCTCAACTCCATGTACCCGAGTATATTAAGATGGAAAGGGGTGTGGGGAAAGGTAATTCTAAAAAGCTATGGAGAAATAAGGTCTAGAGGGGGAAAATGAACACAGATCATTACCTTGTCCCAACGACGATGATTGTCGTCCTTAAGAATTCTTAATTTTTCCTGGTCACACCAACGTCGCAGGAGGGGGGTCGATTTGGGTTGAACTGGGTTGAACTGGGGTTGACCTGAGGGGAGCCTTGATGATCACTCATTTGCAAATTTCGATTCCAAAGGATGTGCAATCTGGATTGTCTTGACAACTTCCTGAATAACTCACTCGTTCATGTGTGCTACACTACTAAAAGACAATAGTAGAGATCGTATCCCTGGTCCCGTTTTCTCGGGGGTGATTTATTGCGCAAGTTCATGGACTAGAACACTAGAACACTGTTGACAAGATTGAGAACTGCCAATTGAAGGATAGAGCCGTGTCCTACCGAGTTGACTAATTTTCCTCTTGTCCAATCCTTTTCAGTCCACTGAATAGAGTTGACGGATGGCAAATATTAAGATTTCGCCAGAGACTAACTCCACTCCGTTCTCCACCCCAACAGCCAGCTAAACGAGCTACTACTACTACATATTTGGATCCCATGTCAATTTCAACCAGTCATTGATTTATTACTGGCAAAACGAAACAACGAGATTATGAAAGTACTGTAGGATAGAGAGAAAGAAAAACGATAAGTGATAATATGTTTATCATACCACTTACCTACATTGTCACTGGCTGCCCTCATTTGTATTGAGTATCATTGGTTGAGAGATGCAATTTCAACAAAAATCCCAAACCTTGTTCACACCAACCACCAGAGCATCCTTGATGATTCAATCTTCGATTTCAAGATTTTCGGAAAAAGTATGACCGAGGGGAAAGACATTCGGAGGTGATGCCACCGTGGGGTAGGCTCTCCGAGACCAAACGACCAGCATCTGCATACCCTGGACCTATTCGCTGATTTTCTTAATCCTTGTTCTCTCCATAAGTTAAGATCAATAAACTTTAGGAAAAGAACATGCCTCTTGTCCTTTACGGTACTTCATGCGAACCCCGCCATATAGTTCATAGACTTTATTAGTTCATGAGCTCATGCTAGAGACATTGCCCTGTCATCTTGTGGCTATTGTTTTAGCTTTTTATGTCTCCTTCCAAGACGGTCCTGCTGATATACAGGGAGCCAAGGTATATGTCAGTTCCATGCCGCATTCAGGAGATATAGATGCTCGAATCGCACTCTGACAACCATCTTAGAACCTTATTAACTTGCATCTTCTGGAAAGCTCGTCAGCTATCGACTGTCATATCTGTCAACCATTAACAGAGCTTCCATCACAGCTAGATTAAGTCTCTTCAAACCAACCTTATTCTGGCAACTTTGTTTGCGCACCAACTCCAAAATGCTTTCCAATCCCCTTCATCGTTTCTCGGCATATAATACTATGCCCTCAAACAATATGCTGTCTAACGGACACTTACCATCCAACCATATGCACACTTCAGGCTTAGACACTCTTGCTCATGGCTCACAATATGCTATCTCACAGCTTCACCAACAACAAGTGGACATTCGTCAAAACTCACAGAGTCACAGAAATGCTCCTTCAAAACACCGACAGCATCCTTATGCAATGGGAATGCCAGGAGGAAACGCTACATCTGCCAGAGGAACCGGGAATTCTGGGCCGATTCGAAGAAGAATTAGCAGAGCTTGCGATCAGTGTAATCAACTCAGGACTAAATGCGATGGGCAAAGTCCCTGCGCTCATTGTGTCGGTAAGTATTTTCATTGAGATCTAACGGATAAGGCTCATGAGGATATAGAATTTGGACTAGGATGCGAGTATATCCGTGAACGAAAAAAGCGAGGAAAAGCTTCCCGAAAAGATCTCGCACAACAAGCCGCCGCCGCCGCTGCTGCCAATGGACAAAAGTCGCCTACTGATCAATCTTCCGAAGAGAGATCGCCAGTGGAGTCCCGCAATGATCCAACTTCCGCCATTTCCTTGACAAACGAAGGTGTTGAATTCCCACGACATACACCATCTAGGTCTTTAAGTCTTAACACAGCCGCAGTTGAAAAGCCTTCAGCTCGCGAATTGATGAAAGGAAGAATTCGCGCCGGTAGTCTCGAAAGCCTCACAGAAGTACCATCCCAAGGACATCCGCCCCACGTTAGCCGCGCAGACGTCGATCAAATCGGGAGTCCTGGGTCCCTGAATTTGCATGGCTATTCAAGCATGCACGGTTACCGCTCTACTTTAAATCCCCACATGATGAACGGCAGTGGCAGTCATGCAAACTTTAACACCTCGCAGACCGGTTATTCAGATCTACCCTATGCTATACAGGGCCAAAGCCCGCCCAATTTTACGGGTAATACCCAAGGTCAGTTTCGTTTAGCCGAAAGCCCTTTGACCGGTTTTCCTATGGGCTCTGAGGCCCCTTCACCCGGTGGGTGGATGTCATTACCCTCCCCTTCAAACCAGTACCAACACGTGACACATCAGAACTTCAATGCACCTCTTCGATATCCCGTGCTACAGCCATTGGTGCCTCACCTTGGCAGTATCATCCCCATACCTTTGGCTTGTGATCTACTCGAATTATATTTCGCAAGCTCGTCATCAGCCTTGATGCACCCTACGTCTCCTTATATTCTCGGTTACGTCTTTCGCAAACACTCGATACTTCACCCTACGAAACCTCGGCAATGTACGCCTGCCTTACTTGCTAGCATATTGTGGGTTGTGGCACAAACTAGTGACGCAGCTTTTCTAACAGCCAGTCCATCATCTCGTGGGCGAATTTGTCAAAAATTACTCGAACTTACTGTTGGTCTTCTTAAACCTCTTATTCATGGAACGTCCGGAAGCAATGAATCTGCTTCCAATTTCTCTAATACTGTCATTAATGGTGTGGCGTTGGGCGGTCTTGGTGTAGCAATGCCCGGTTCGGTATCTACAGATGCACTGAATGAAACAGGTGCTTTTGGTGCAGCTGGCACCCTTGACGATGTTATAACTTATATTCATCTCGCTACTGTTGTGTCAGCTAGCGAGTACAAAGGAGCGAGCCTGCGTTGGTGGAATGCGGCTTGGTCATTAGCTCGTGAACTTAAATTAGGAAGGGAATTACCCCACCATCCAGCACCAATGGCTCCAGAACAACCAAATGAAGGAGCCAATGATGTCGATGCTGATGGAGAAGATGATGATGAACTACCTCGAACTCCAGGGCCGATAACTGAAGAAGAGAGGGAAGAGAGGAGAAGGATATGGTGGCTTTGTTATACAGTAGACAGGCACCTCGCATTATGTTACAACAGGCCACTCTTTCTGTTAGATATAGAATGTGATGGCCTTCTCCAGCCAATGGATGACGCATTATGGCAGGCTGGAGAATACTATACTGGTGATTCAAGCATTCATATTACTTCCCCTTCGGGCACTCATCGTATACGGAGGCGCGGACCTAACTTTGAGTGTACTGGACATAGTATATTCGGATACTTCCTACCCCTAATGACGATTCTCGGCGAAATCGTAGACCTCTACCACGCCAAAAATCATCCTCGATTTGGCATTGGCTTTCGCTCTGCTCGTGAGTGGGACGATCATGCTAATGAAATCGCAAAACAACTCGATGCCTATGGTCAAAGTCTACGAAATTTCGAATCTGAACAAATTCCTCCCTTGCCAGATGATCAAAATGATCAAAACATAGAAGGAAACAATTCATCCTCAACACCAAATAAACCTCTTGAACACAACGACATCGGCTCTCCTTCAGTTCATTCAGTTCATTCAGTTCACACCGTATCCTCCAGTCACGTCACCGAAGCCAATATTCAAACACGGATTGTGGTGGCTTATGGTACACATGTCATGCATGTTCTTCACATCTTATTAACGGGAAAGTGGGACCCGATTTCTTTACTTGACGACAACGACCTATGGATCTCATCGCAAAGTTTTATCAACGCAACGGGACATGCTGTTAGTGCAGCAGAAGCCATTAATAATATTTTGGAATATGATCCCGGGTTGGAGTTTATGCCTTTTTTCTTTGGTGTGTATTTGTTGCAGGGTAGCTTTCTATTGTTACTTATCGCCGATAAACTTCACGTATGTTGTGATTCTGCTTTGATTCTTCTCGTCTACATTCTTCTCTTCTAGAGAAATAATGTGAATCATGGATCTAACATAGATAAATAGGTCGAAGCATCACCCAGCGTAGTAAAAGCCTGTGAAACCATCGTCCGAGCCCACGAAGCCTGTGTCGCAACGCTGAATACAGAATACCAGGTTAGTTCCCCATTAATTCATTGATTCATTCATCCACCCCCCTTCTTCCCCTCTCCTCCACTTGCTATCACATCCACAAAAAACTAACACACCACCCCAGCGCAATTTCCGCAAAGTAATGCGCTCAGCACTCGCACAGGTGCGCGGCCGCATCCCAGAAGACTTCAACGAGCAACAGTTGAAACGGAGAGAAGTGCTCTCTCTATATCGCTGGACGGGCGATGGGACGGGTTTAGCTTTATGAAATTTTCCTTTACTTCTTCTCGGGGGTTTCTTTCTTGGTGCGCTTTTGCTTTCTTGCAGTGCGCGATGGATTGCACTGGACGGAATGGGATCGGATGGGATGAGATAGGCAGGGAAGGCAAGGGATGGATACCGGACTGGGAACACGTACATGAATATGAACTTGGAAATCGGAGACCCTCTTCTGGAAATCTGAAAATGGAATGGATGGGCAAGAAAAGGTTAGGAAAGGATGGGAAATTCATGAAATGGTCAGGCAGGAAGGAATCGGAGATTTGATGATCTGGAGTTGGATCCGTGTGTATCTTTTTTACTTGCCTCGACACAGATATATATGATCTTTTTTGTGTCCATGATTCCGATGTATGTACTATGTAAAATGCTTGCTTGTCTATCTTTATTTTATGTTTATGTTGGGATTCTGGGAATGAGAATGTGGTGTGAGGATCTGTATCGATTATGAATATATACGAGCATCTGTTATCTATCTGTATGTACTATGTAGTTGTTTTGCTTGTCTTCATCATTCATCAGAAACATTCTATAGATTCCAATGCTGCATTCTCCTATCAAAATCATCCATCAAAGCATAAGTGGCATAGCCATCACAACTGTAAAAGGGGGGTTTCAATACATTCACACCACAGTACACATCTCTCCATTCCTCTTTCAAACTTCAAAATATCAACAAAATTACCATTACTTCCCATTCTAAATTACCATTCCATGCTACAATATATACAAATCTTCATTCATCTCAACTCATCTCATCATTGAATACAAATCGCTCATCAATCGGTCCATCCCCAAATCATGCGCCAAGCAATGCTCGCTCATTCGCCCATGCGCCCATCAATCATATAATGGCCAATCCACATACAGCCCATCAACAAACAAACAAACATCAAGAAAGCGAAAACAGGAAATTTCTAGCCCAGCAACTAAGTGACTCATCCGCCAAATTTTCGCTCACAACACCCACTAAGCCGCTATAAATATATACAATCATGTACCCGTAATATCATGGGGTAAATTAGTAGCATCTGGATCGACCTCAGTTTCTGTCAATCTCAACGCCTCTTCCACATCTTTGACGAAATGTTCTCTGCCGCCACAAGTTTCCAAAATCCCACTTCGTTCCAATAATCTCCAAATGTGAGTTCCTTCTTGAGGACCACGGGAAAAGAAGACTCTAACACCTCTATTTCTATATCCTCTTACGATTTCCTCTAAAACCTGTGTACCTGAACCATCAAGTCCTGTGACGCCATGAATATCAAAAATGATGTTTTTATTGTGTTCAGGAGACCGTACGCGAGGTAGTGCAGGATGTGCATTGTTTGTGCCGTATAATTCTAATCGTCTGAGTCGATTTTTGAGATCACCAGTGTTGGCGAAGGTAAGTGGCTCGGGAATTTTAACAATGAGACATCCCTCGATGAATTCCAGTTTCTCTGGATTGTCTTCCGCGTTTTCGAAACGATTGGTACCAGGAATGCGGCCTAGAATTTGGATACGAGGACGAGTGGAGTGTTTGATAACGGAGAGAAGAGAGAGACCGACTCCGATAGCGATACCAAGGGTTAGTGAGTAAAAAATAGTCGAAGCAAAGATAATAAGCATAAGACCCAGTTCAGTATATCCACGAATTCGAATGAAAAATGCTATATCGTGAGGAGCTTCTTCAATCAAAGAATAGGCTACCACCGTAATCATTGAGGAAAGAACAGCCTTCTAGGACGATATTAGCTCAGGAAAAGTCTTTGGGAAATCATGGAGACATACCGGAAGATAATAAAACGCAGGCAAGAGGAACAAAATACAGAGAACGGTTAATAAACTTAGGAAAATGCTACTCATGGGAGTTTTTCCACCAGTACTAGCATTAACTTTGCTTCGACCATACCCACCAAATGCAGGAACTGCTTGAAAGCAGCCACCAACTAGATTTGCAACTCCAAGAGCTACCAACTCTCGATTTGGACTGAGCTGTACTCCTTGTATCAAGTCTTTCCCCTCTGCCCCAGCAAGACTTTTCGCCGCTACGGACGACTCGAAAAAGCCGAGAAGTGCGATCAAGAAAGACGTCCCCATAGATTCTCGGACATGCTTCATATGGGAAATTTGGAATGGCCATCTGAAGGTAAATGGCGCTCCGCCAGTCGATTTTACCTCGCCCAGGATCTGGACTCCGAGGTCTTCCCAATTATATTGCCAGGCTAGAATAGCCGAAATAACTACAACCAAAAATCTATCGGGTATATATGCAACACTTGGATATCGAGGCTGAAGGCGCTTTTTCATCTCTCTAGGTCAAATTAGTAGTGAGCAGAACTAAGATTTTTCGTTCTACATACCTGAAGATCATAATTATAATAAAACTGACACCAGCAACAATACAGGTAAGCTTATGCGCTTTGCTTGCATGACGGATCAAAAAGCCCAATTTGTCGACACTGCTGCCATGAGCGACACCTCCCATTTCGTCTGCCAGTGCTGCTAATCCCATCTCTGGTATTAATTGATCGACCATAATAACAAAACCGATCGCAGAAATAAAACCTCTTAAAAATGGTCTGCTCAACACACTGTCTAGAAATCCTAGGCGAGTTAAGCCAGCAATGAAGATTACTGCTCCTGCCATACCAGTAACAATACCGGCAACTCTCGCGTGCATTAAATCGTCGTCTTCACCCCCATTACCGAGATCGACAGTAGATTTTACAACCGTGCCAACTAACAGACTTCCTGCGGCTTCAGGACCAACAACCATTTGTGGGCAGCTTCCCAATATTGCATATATAAGTGGATTGAAAACAAATGAGTAAAGACCGTTAATTGGAGGAACGTGTGCGAGATTAGATGCATAAGAAAGTGCCATCGGTAGGTAGAAGGAAGCCATTGTGATAGCAGCTATTAGGTCGCCCCGAAGATGTACCCATCTATATTGTCGAATCCATGTGAAAAATGGTATGTAGTAGTTTATGTACCTGTTACGCAACACGGCGTTAGCAAAACTCCATACGAGATCCGGACAGGCTTAGTGTTTATACATACATTCCAGTAGTGTTGGTAATTCCATGTTGTTCTGCGAGCCAACTTGTAGTGCTCATCCTCTTTGGTTTTGCCATTGGACCATTCCTCACTCCTAAACCTTTAAGTAACCCTCCAATGATCCCGTCGCTAGCCTCTCCGTTGCCATTGGGAGATACTGGCGCAGAACCTCCAAAACTCCTTACACTGTCCGCACGACTCCCCAGCCTCGGACTGAACGTTCCATGATTGCAAGGACCAGGATGTGCCGCATTGCCAATCGATTCAAAAGGCTTCCTCAGTAAGGCGGTGGTCTCATCGGAGAGCTTTCCTCCAAACCCAGTGTGTTCATGCGTATGGCCGTCTAGTCCATCATCTGTGCTTGCGGATGTATCGGCGCGAGTAGGATGAGCATGCGGTAATGGCTGTTCAGTATCGTTCCTCGAGTTCTCATCATTCCTATTATTTGATCCATCTTCTTCAACATGCCTAGTCGCCTCCGGACTCGTCGCAAGGGTGAAAGATTCCCTCAATCCGCTAGGATGTGTCGGTGTGAATTGCGAAACATTTTGACTTCGCAGACTTGGAGTTCTGGAATTTGATCGTAAAGGTGGAGAAGTCGGTGATCGTGATGAAGTCATGGTTAACTAGGGCGTGAATAAACTGCCCTGAATATAATAATCTTTACATCAATGTACACCTCAAAATGAAGTAATGTTTTGATTAATATTCTGGGGTTTTGGGGAGACGTTTGAATGGAGATGGAGGAAGTAATTTGGAAATAATTGGGTGGGGAGGGGACCCTTGAGATAAATCAACCAATGAGATCAGTTAAATTGATAATTATGGGCCCAGTGGATTATCAAGCTACCGACTTTATACCGTTGAGATTTTCATTTGTAATTCATTCGTATTAGGTATGTAAATTGTATATCGTCAATAACAACCAGACAATGAGAACTTCAAGAATCAACTTTTCTCAGATAACTGCATCTGGTGTTGTATCGATTCAAGCGGAAGAACAAGAGGGAGGGAGGAAGGGAGGGAGAGAGGCAGAGAAAGAGAATGATAATTTGGAAGATGCTACTACTTGGTAGCAATCCTTCAACGCCCATTGCAGCTCTCAAATAGTCTACATCGTACATCCTCTCATAAGTACATAGGCTCCTAGGTAGGTAGAAGTTCTTTGCAGTTTTATTACATTTTTATTTTGCATCTTATATCGTACATTGTACCCCTCTACATTTGAGCGATTTCAATCTTTGTTTTATCCCTCGTCTTTTGTGCATTTCAATCGTCTGCATTTCACCCGAACAATGCGGTGGTTGTGGCATGTTTGCCAGCACTGGAGCCGATGCACAGTATCGACAAGTCTACCATAGTTCCCAGAATCAAAATTAGTGTACAGAAATGTGTGTTTGATATTTTTGCGATAGTTCGCAGGTCGTATGGAGAAGGTCTTCGGAAAAACTCCCAAAGTATCATTGGAAACTCAAGTACTGAGTGCATGAGAAATCTTTGGGGTGCAGGATTTTCAAGAGAGCGTTTGTATGAGACGGTGAGAAGCTATTTTCCGGATTCAGAAATGGCCAAGATTGAGTTTTACAAACATACTCAGTGGACATTGTACCAAAATCAGTTTGGGAAAACTGGCTACTCGGCGTGCAAACTAGGCTACTATGGGGCACCGGGCGTACGATGGACCGAATCTTTCGGAGGAGGTTCTGAGAGAGTTGGAAGGATTGAAGATAGATAGACTGAAGGAAGACAACTTACTGTATAATTGCGTTTGCTATTGGCTGTCATGCAAAATTTGAAATTCCTACAACTTATTTCCTGAAGCGAGTCAAGAAAAGCTTTTTGAAACAATTCAATATTCTTTCAATGTCTTCGCGTTCGTATTCCCAATTTAATCAAAATTAATCAAGGGCCCTCCTTCGTATATTTGGTCAAGCTCTGGGCCTACAAAACTTCTTTGCGGTAATAAAAGATAGATGTACAGACAGAATCCAGTTATTCATTTGCCTTGATGTTAACTCTTACACAAACTGTTCATTTTTGGCAGGGCATTCAATGTTTAAATTCTCGGAAACTCTGATTCTTGGTTCTTTAAACCCTCTGCACAGTCATCTCCTGCTTTCCGCACTACATCGTGCTTGTTATTAACATACGCTAGGTTAGATGAATTGAGTTCTGCGATCTCTCGTTCATTATTGGTTCTGTTTTATCTTTTTAGTTTACTCATTAGGTAATAGAAGCACGGAAACCGTGGTGAGAACAATATGATGGCACCATGAGGCCGAGGGATAGTGCTATTACATTGATTTAATTCGATGATAGAATTCCGAGGCCAGCTTTTCGCTACAACCGGCCCGGAAAGCAGCGTGTCGATGTTCTATGAAGCATAGACGGGATCTTGCTTGATTCCATTTGATAGATTCACTTGCACATCATGTCATTGAATAATTTGCGATAGTCAAAGTATCTTAAATATAAATTGCTATATATTCAGCGTGTTATATTAATTTATGCATAGGAGACAATTATGTTCTTCGATATCAGCTTTAAAAGCATCAACCCCTACTCAAATCTTGCTCGGCACCCACAGAGGCTTTTTCTTCCCTGCAAATGCTTCTAACCCAATCTGCATGTTCTCTCCCTCGAACAATTGCTGATCATACCTCTGCGCAACGATCTGTGTAGCTCTTTCCACACTTCCTGTCTCCCAAGCCTCTCTCAGTCCCGCTCTCGATACAATTACCGCATCCGGACTCAGAGCTGCAATTTTCTCTGCGAGCTCAATACCCTCCTTCAATACTGTCTCCGGTGATTGAGCAACTCTATTAATTAGATTGTATGAAAGCGCTTCCTTTGCGGTAAGTTTACGATTAGTCAATGCGATTTCTGTGGCTATTTGAAGCCCACAATTGCGCACTATGCGCGGAAGACCACCCGCTGCGGCGTAGAGGCCCACAGCCGCCTCAGGAAGACCGAATGTTGCCAACGGAGATGCGACAACCAGATCGCTAGCAGAATTTAGTTTACGTATTTCAATATCAAAGTAGCAACTATAATATACCAATTTAAACAAATCTCAAACCCTCCGCCAAGCGCGAACCCATTGACCGCGGCGATTACTGGCTTCTTGCCCACCCGTCTACTAATACCACAAAATCCGCTGGGTGGATGTCTACGCGTTGACATTGGCGGAGGATCAATTTTGAATTTAGCTTGCTCGATTAAATCTTGGCCCGCGCAAAATGCCTTTTCTCCTGCTCCGGTGATAATAGCAACGCGCAAATCGGGGGAATCGTCGAACCAGGTGAGAATAGCATCGGCTTCCCAATGAGCGAAGCTAGGTATAGAATTCATAGCTTGTGGACGATTGATGGTTATGAGGAGGATTTGGGGTGTTGGGTAGGTGAGGAGAAAAGAGGTGGTTTCGGGGGGCGCAGTTGGGGCTTCCATGATTAACTTTGGTGGAAAGAGTGATAAGTTCTGGATACTTTGGTGGACGTTAATTCTTTTTGCTTTTTACTGATGTAAATTGAAAGGGGAGCATTAGTATGGGGAATTAGTAGAGTGGAGCTCCCCCGCAAATGAAGGACACATCCGAGCCGAGGTTTAGTCTGACTGAGAGCACGTGCCTAGTGACATCATGTGATTCTTCGAGGAACATGAGAGAACAGAACAAAGTTGGTCCATCTCTTTCGGCGCCATCTTCGCTTTGGACCAATATCTGAGTTCATTATTCATTGGAGTACCCCGTCTTTTCTCCTGGCTGCAATCTCCGTCCAAATTTATCACGAGAAATAATCGCAGTGTTTGAATAGCAAGGGATTAGCAAGTAGCGTTCTGGACAATAATTCAGCTGTATTTCTGCTATTTATATCATGCGATATACATGAGTTGTTGCAAGAATTTCCCCTGCTATAAGCTACGAATCTTCTAGGATGCTTGCAAAGATGAGAGAGCTCACGATGGGCGTGGAATCCGCGAACCGAGTTGTATAATCCGAATGGTGTTTACCACCGGCTTTCACAATTAGATCCACCAGGAAGTTTTGAGTAGATGGACAGAACGGAGTAAAAACACACACATAGTCTTGGATGTGTTCCAATTCTAATCTCTGAGGTGGTTCTGGGGGAAACCCCTTGGAACTCTCCACCTCAAGTTTGCATGTAGTCAATCGTGGGCCACAATGCAATTCTTAAAGAAGAGTAAGAAATAGGCAAATTTGTTATTTTGGACTGTTATCCCTGACATTAGTCGACAAAATTAGATGGTCTATCATTGTTTGCCTACATGTCGGATTAAGTTCCTCCACTTATGATAATCATCTAGTCAAGTCGGATTACCACATGATGTATCCGAAACCTTAGGCCATTGCGTAGAATTTACAAGCATTTCTTCTATCCCCAAGTCCCTTTTGGTGGCCCAAAAATCTCTCCGGGGCCAACCTTTCTTTGTACTGCTGTCTCCAGATAATCCATTGTATTCCCTGGTACGCTATTACCCCACCACTATAATACAATTAGTCTTTCACTATAATCCCATTCAACAGGGAGAAACTTACATCTGGAAATCCCGTTCCGGTCAGATTCAAAGCTGCGATAATAACAATTGTGCAGATCGCTAATCCAGCATCTAGCCCTGCACTCGTAATATAATTGAACCTCATCCACCATCCTCTCCATCGATTCTTAATATATTTCTGGAAGATGAAACCATACAAACACCAACTTAAGTAGTTTAGTGGTGTGGCAGGTGGTAATTCTGACATACCACCGAAGAATATTGGGGCGCTAAAAAGTCGTATCTTTGATTTTGGGAATGCTCGTGCGAGGAAATATATAACGAAGGGAAGAAGTGCACCTGCTAGCCAAAAATACTGAAGAGAGCCATAGATAGCTCCGGAGCTAAAGATGCGTTGAGGACCAATCAATCCAAAGATTACGCTGGCGTTAAAGAAGACTCTCGGACCAGGACATGTAAAATTATTTTTCTGGTCACTGGTGCATATACCTTCGATATGGCCTAATGCCCACTCCAAAACGCCCAATTGAACAAAGCAACTCCAAACCGTTGCGATCAATTGGCCCCAAAAGACTGGTCTTTGAGGAATCTTGAGGTAATGAGCGAGTTTCAAATCGGATAGGAAAGCATGTGCTTGGTTCATAGTAATGTATCCGTATGTCTTGAACAGCATGAGGGCAATTGGACGACCGGGAAGCATATAACCCAGTATATATTCAGTGAAGACATTGAGACCGAGATGGATATTGGTGGTTGCGTAGATTATACCGATGGGGATAGTCCAAACCAGAGAAATTATGAGTGCGATGATTAATGCCCACCATGTCAGATGCGTAGGATATGCGCATACAGCTGCTAGAGCCATAGCCATCATCACGAGAAAGAACACGATATACCACCATCCGGGTACGGGTTTATATTTTCGCATCATTTTCGTGTGGTTATCGTCTAGACTTCCACGAATAGCGCGAGCGAGTATCCACTGAGAGATATGGTATTAGTTTGTGTAGCAAATCACGTATGAAATCGGGAAGCTTATACTTACAATCTCTTGGCCATGGAACAACATAGTATGGAATATCACCGCAGCAATAGCAGCAAAAGAAAGACCATAAGTAAGACTAAAGGTAGTCGAAAGAAACAAGGGCGAGTATTCCTATGATGAAGTTAGTTCCGCTTACCCCTAGTCATTAAGCGAGAGAACGCGTACCTTATACTTCTCAATATCAAGCGTGTACTCTGGAGTTATGATCTTGGTAACATTGTAATGTTGACCAGTATTATCATAACTATTTGAATCAGAAATAGGCAACCATTCAGCATACCAATGACCTGAGAAATGAATCCTAGCCGTCACAATCATGAACCAAAATACAGTACCAATAGCTGTGTTGGCAATGGCAAACCAAGGTGGAATGAGTGGGGACTGGAGGTTATATCCTAGAAACCAGTGAGCAGGTTTACGACCCGCAAGCCTGAGTTCGAAGGTAATCACTTACCAGTAATCTGAGTCCAATCAAAAGTAATGGGAAGAATAGAAATACCCGTCCAACCACCAAAGACCTGGTTAAGAACGACACTATTCGGTCGGATCCACGTAACGAAAGAAAAAACGCTCAAGAACTGTGCGATATAGCCTGGAAACCAATACCAGACGAAAGATCCGATAAAGACATAGAAGAAATACCTATATCTAGCTATGGACCAACCATTCGACTTAGCAGGATCTGTTTTGCTATGGTCATGTAAGGCATAGATGAAAGAAGTGCTAACGAGATTCTGTGGCCAGATCATGGACGCGGGCTCAACCAGAAACTTCCGCATCATACCTGCAATCCCAAACCCAATACATTGTGTGGAGAGTGCAAGTAAGATGTTGAAACCCCAACCGAAATTCTGTCCGTAGAATCCTCTTTGTGCGGTCAGTGTATCAGTGAAATATGCTACCCCTTGACCAAATGCAGCATTGGCCATGATTACGATGAGACCATGTTCCTTCATGTTGAATTTTCCTGGGCTAAGATTCCACTTTACTCCACAGGTGGTGTAGGTCCGGTCTGGAAAAACCATGGTCCAACCTACTCCTAGGGGATATGCGACCATTTGTACGACGATAGACGTGATCGTCAAAGAAGGAGCTCGGAGTGAAAAGAGAGAGTTCAACCCGGACGCAATGGTATTGAGAACCAATCCGATTACCCACGCTCGAATTGTGTTACATGGAAGATCTTCGTCATAATTTCTGACCGCTGCACGAACCTATTCTCAAGTCAATTGGAGTGACAAAAAAGGCTCACGTTGTCTCACCTCAGGATATGGCGAGTTCTCAAAGACTTCATCATAGATTCTTCCTTCAGCGTTACCGTCTCGCCTATTGATGGCGTCATCGATTTCTTCTAGTTGATCTTGGCCTAGATTCGGATCCCATCTATGAAGTTGCTCGAATGCGGTTAATTTGCGATTCGTTTCAGCCTCTTGTATGTCACGAGCAGTTGGTACCGCGTCATCCTTCTCTTCTGCCCTTCCGATGGTATCTGGTGGAGTGCGTGACTCTGCAAGAGAGTCATCTTGTGAAGGAATACTGGCAGGAACGACAGGATCCCGAGCTTGGAATCTCTTGAAAACTCCAGCCATGATGGAATTTAAAAAAAATACAAATCAAGCAAGAAGGTGTAACATGAAGAATAGAAATGAATTTGAATTCAGAATAGAGGGACATTTAAGTGAGCTGTCTACAGGCCACACACCCTCGTGATAAGCTATATCAGAACATACCCCCTCTACAATGCAAGATAACAAGTGATAACGATTAGTTTCATGCCTCTAAGAAGAAAACTACAAAGGCCCGCTATGCAAAACCGCTATAGGCAGGTATTCCCATTTCATACCCTTGACAACAAGAAAACATCCAACTGCCGTGCAATGTTGTATAGATGTTGTACCTGACCATGGGCCAATCAGAACACAAGATTTTTGCGTATCGAGCATGACCCCGCATGTTCAGCCAGGCGGACGATAAGAGCTTCTTTATCGAGAATCTATTATCTTTAGAGGGCCAATCGAAAATGATGTCCAGTAAGATGATACCGGATTTCTATGTTTGTATGTGTAGAAGACAAAAAGTATATCTAGACTCTTTCGACGACTTGTATTTTCGGGCGACCCACCACGGCTAGTACGGCATGCTTGATCACTGTGTGGAGACGACGAGCCGAGCCCTTTTCCAACATCCTCCCTGTTGTAAGCAACTTCTTTTGATCCAATCATCCAGATTTGGTCAATCTGTTCTTGTAATTTTAGAGGAGACAAAAGAATATGGATCAAAGATCTGTTCTATATACCCGTCGTACTTCAATTTCAATCCCCGTTACCGCACTTAATCTGTCGAGATGGAGTCGCATAGTACGATCAAGTTTGTATAGATCACGGGTGGGAGTGGAGTCAAATTCCTGATAGTCATACATCAGTAGAAAACGAATGCTTCGAAGATGAGGTGTTGAGATTTTCCAAGCACCCAACCAAAATTGAATTGCCGTGGCTATCCTATGATAATCAACACAATTGTTCCATTCTAGTTCTTTATCATCAGTAAGTGTGAGAACCTCAATATTCTTAGGTACAATGCGTTCAAAATATAAAGACCGGCCATACGGAGGACGACAGCGAAGTCGATTACTCGGGCTTGCGGTAGTTCCCAGCATGAATTCCAAATTAATCTCAAGTCTTTTCAAAGAGTTGAAATTGATGAGTTCATGTAATGATCCTGCGACTCCGATGGAATAAGAATCCGCATTAACCACTTCATTTTCTGCGGAGATAGTGAGGTCAGTCAAGGTATCTCGAACGAGCGACAATGCATCAGTGATAACGTTGTATCGGATCGTAGTTACACTATTGCCATAATGATGCCATCTCCAGCGTAGAGTCTCGAGTCTAGTTGTAACACTTAGGATGTCATAAAGCATACCTGCCTTTACCATGTCAAGATCTAGCGACGTAATGGTTGATGCGACAGGCCTTGAATTTAGAGGCCACCAGTAATCTATGGGAGTAGCTATTGCAGCCGATAGACAAACAATGTTTGGAAAAGATAAAAACGGAAGGACGTCTTGTGGGTTCAGATTTTTGCGTCTAAAGCGACCTATGGTTGTCTGTTTGAAGGTCACATGCTGAAGTCGTTGAAAAGACGCAATTCCACAATTGCCATCTTGGCAAAGAGTCGATCTGAGGACCAAGCCAACGATTTCACTACCATGCGAAAAATTCGGATTCAATCGAAAGTATATCAGATTCGGGAGTTTACACAGTAAGATGGCGACGAAAGCGTCCATATTCCTGTTGCGCAATTCGCTGATCCAAATATCTTCATAATCAGTGTTGAAGGTCTTGATGACCTCAATCAATTGTTCGAGGTCAGTTTCATCCACGGTGAGTCTAACGTCACGAATTGTGGCAAGGCTACGCAGAGATTCGCCACCGCTTCTACCGAGCGTGAGACCTTTTACACGAACCGCTAGGTGGGGTCTCGAGAGTATATTTTTGATGAGTGAAATGATTCGGGGTGGTCTCGAATGTTTCCTCCAATTCAATTGAATCTCAGAGTACAGGAACGGCTCCGCAATCCTATTCAATATCTTGCATGCCCAGAATAAACCATAGAAATGTTCGGCGGAGAGAAACTGAAAGATCATGCAGTGAACTTCGGTTGGACAACGAAGGAGCCCAGCAGCTTGGAAGATAGCTCTCATGTTTAGAATTGGAGGCCTTGATAGAGATTTTGACACGATGAAGACGTGTATGAGATCAAGCTGCTTTGTATACAGAGAAGACCACAGGCGAAGTTAGTGGTGGAGATGAAAATATTTCGAATCTACACTGATCTTGCAGAACAACGATATTTCATCCGTACAATTTCTGTTCTGGAAGGTGCGCTTATCTAGATGGTTACAGTATTTGAAGTTATGAAACTACGCAACTACTCTCTCTGAGGGAAGGTGCCACTCATCTTCGATTTAGATTAAAAAGTCCAGTGACCACCTTCCCCCCATAAACCATAATGTTTGGATTTTTCTTGGGGTTGGAAAGGTCACTGTAGAGAGTAAATAATATGAATTTCGCAGATACCTTCGATTTTATCCCCGTCATTCTGGATATAGCAGGTGTGGAGAGGGGGGATAATCTCTGGAGTAGTTTCCGTAGCCCCATTCAATATTCGCTAATTCTAACCAAACAACAGATTGCCCAAAATAGTATATGCTTTCATATAGAACATAGCTAATAACTCTATCAGCTTGAGAGCTATATATCAAGCATATCGACGGATGAAAAGATCAAAATATTTCCTAATACACCGGGTTACCGTCCGACTGCCAAAAGGTTGCCAAATTTTGAGTGTTCAACTACTTTCAAACATCGAACTGTTCTTCAATTATTGCATTCCTTCTAGATGTTTAACTACATTTAACTACCAAAAATCCCAGATTTATGGGCCACAGTCTTCACCAGTAGATACTTTGAGTTTCCACAATAGGAGGAGCTACGAAAACAAAGTACTCCGTGAAAGAAACTAGCCAGCAATATGTAGTAAATGCGATTGAATATATTTGATTTTCAAATACTTGTTATACATGGAAGATACTGTGACCAACATGATATGAGAAAAACTTCCTGAGATATCAGAAGACCAATAAAAACAGCCAAATGTTGAGTGTGATCAAGGGGCCAGAATCATGAACAGTAATGGATCTTCCTTGAAAACTTCATGTAAAGTATGGCACCATCTTTGATTCTTCACTAGCGATTAAACCACTGGGAAATTCATCAGAGGAGGTTGGGAGACCCAATTTCCAAGCAAATTTCTCTAAGATCAAGTCTGCAATTCAAGAAAATTGCAAACAAATACTTTCTTTCGGGCCCATTGAGAATGCAATAGCTGATCCAATCGCACGGAACAAAGCAATCAAGGACTATATCAAACATCAAAGACGAAGTAAGATTCAAGTAGGCGCAAGAGCTGAAGGGCAAACATCACTGTTTGTTACCTCCCTAACTGGCGATAGCCATCTTACTATCCAGGTATGGCGAAATAATTCGTGTTGCAGGAAAACGATTTTTAGCTCCAAATGAATAACACGCATAACTATCACTCAGCGGAACCACCTCTCCTGTTCCTTTTGATCACTCGACCAAAGTTGATACGCACGTCTATTCTCTTTTTTACATTTCAATTGATGCAAGAAGAGCCATAATATTTCAAGTCATAGATCGAGTATATCCACGAGTCGCCGTTGGTGCGGAAAGAAGAACTGGTAGAGTGTTCGAGCATGGAATACGTTTTCTATTTTGATGTCACGTATACATCTTTCTGCAAATGATTCGATATCGTGGAAGATAGAAAGCATTGTCCAGTTTAAGGTCACAGACCAATTCAACGTGCTTGAGTTTCTAAGTCGAAGGTAATGGATAACACTGAACATACTATGATATCTTTTTACAAGAGGAAGATGTTACATCTGAGGTCACGTGGAAGTGTTCAGAGCTCTTTGAGCCACAACAACAATAATTAGCACCACTTACAACTAATAGCAAGCCCTACAACCAAAACCATTCCTCATCCTTCTAGATCTTCATCCCCTTGGCCCACAACGCTGCCCAAATGCGTCATATGTATTTACCCTCTGCGACTCCACAACCCATGATCGTATATAAAGTTTAACAGCCGAACCTCATAACTCCACTCCACACTCATCAACCTCAACTTCTACATCTACGATAAAGGCAAGGACACTAACTAAATATCCGGAGACTAATAGCCATCGAACAAATAGAAGGCAAGCAATGCGATGAAACATAACAGAGTTTGGACAAAAGCAAGGAAGATAGAAAACTTTATTCTAGAAAGATAGGTAAGGTTAGCGAGATAGGGAGATAGAGGAATGTAAGACAGTAAGACAGTGAACATCAAAGCGCGATAAGAAAATTAGAAGCCTCTTTCTTTGGATTATGTGTGAAATCCCACCTCACCTGTAGATCGATAAATAGATAGATAGGGAGCTAAATAGTTGCTTCCCCGCAGAGACGATGTTTCCTTGCTGTATAGTGTATACAGTGAGTGTATTTAGAAAACTCCGTAGCAAAAACTAGAAGGAAGTGGAGTTGGCATAAAAAGGGGTAGAGCTTCCCCTCCGCCTTCTAGGATTCCCGCTAACCAGGTTAGGTACAAAAGACATCTGATAGCTCCAGCTTCCAGAAGGAAAAATATTCCTTATCAGCGCGAACTATGTATCCGTGTACTCATGCTTAGGTACTTTTAGAACCTAACCATCCACCTAATCCTCATATATCAGATATCAAGTCCTACCGGCCAAGGAACCGACCAAGAAACCGGATGCGGATAAAGTGATCCGGAGGGAAGCCGAGCGGGAGCGGATTGCTGACCGTTATTCATATTGACATCGATATCATATATCATATCATATCATAGCGTTATATTCGTACGACCCCACGAACATGATATGATGCTATATAGAAATCTAGCTCTAGCAGATGTGATATACAGTTGAGGATAAATCGAAGTATAATTTTTATGGTTTCACGGATGGGGAGGATAAATTGGACATGTGAAGAGTAGTTATCTAAATACTCTGTACAATAACGTAATACCCAAACCATATTCTCGGGACGGTCATTTCATGTGATCGGTACAGGTTTGTGCGTGTGCGCCAGAATTTAAAGAGGGAGTTAACAGAGTTGGGAATCTAGGAAATGAACTCGGCAATAGGTGATTATGACAAGACTTGGGTAAAATTCTATTTCTAAAAGTCCGTGTCGGTGTGGTTGTGGAGGTAGAGTAGAGCGCAAATCCATCCATTCACATCTAGATACTTATTGATCTATTCGCAACATACTCTATATCTGAGATATACCTCATGATTTATCGTTCTTACCTACCGCCGTACATATGCCGTACTCACCCGCAAACCCAAACTTCCCTTCCCTCCAATAATCAGCCACACAATTTCCAAACCTACCACGCATACCCAAGCATTCGGGAGGGATCAAGGAACTTATATCTATCAATTTCCCATGCTCCCACCCATTCATCCAAATAATCGTACGGCGTATACATTCGTTCATACCCTATCCTAACCATCTATATCACTGCTTATTATATACTTCTATGACCTATCTACCTATGATCTATATATTTGTGCGCCTTAAATTTCTCACCGACTTTATTTCCTTCGGGCGTTTGTATCAGCCGGTAGTTTTCTTTCCTTCGTATCTTGTTGTTGGGATTTGGGATTGGGATTGGGATTTGGAATTTGAAATTGTTGCGGTGAAGGGGTTGGGAGGATAGGGATTAGGATTTAGATGGAGGGAAGAAGATGCATGGATATGGATTATGATAAATCTAGGAATGAGCTGATGAGATGATGAGGTGAGTCTTACAACAGGAGGGCGGCGACAAAATGTATCCCGCGGAGTTGAATATGAGGTATGGAATAGAATGGAGAGGATGGGGGTGAGATATAGATAAGATATGATAGGAATGGGATGACGGCATGATATCTATCTATACAGAGTAGACATGTATTGACCAACAGACACTGGGAAGACAATATTAATTTTGGATAGCGATCGACCTGATCTGGGATTTCGATAATAGGGAGTGTCTAGATATGGTTTTTGATCTGATTACTTCTGACATCAATGATAACGATGAAACAGGAGAATTGCTTCATCAACCCACAACACGATATACTCACTCACACTCCACTCTATCTCCTGTTAAAACCCCGAGTAACTTTCTAGCCAACGCATCGAGTGTTTTAATTCTCCATATCTCTCTGCGCGTGGACTATGGATCGGATTTTGTTACAAACAAATAAGGCTGTCTGGATGGAGTCGTCACTGTACAAAGTATGTATGGAGCCCTTAAGGATGCGTTTGCGTGACCACCATGAATCCATTCACGGCAAAACAAAAGCGGTGAGATGAATGATTCTATCTAGCTACCTACCTACCTGCGTACCGATCATTATCCATACCTCCATCCCATTGATATGATTATAATCACATCTCTCCGATTTTGATATACAACGTTACAAAGAAAACAGTACATACCTACCCCCTATCAACCCAAGCTCAAGCTCAGCTAAGCGGATAATAATGCTGTATTGATCTGGGCATTTTGTAGGGGAGTCTGAATGACAGGCGTGGGATTGTCTATTACTACATATTCATCTTGTTTATGAAGGATTTACTTACCAATATTAAGTACTCTATTTTCTAGCCACCCTCTTTTGAGTCATTCATTTACATCAAAAATCACTTTTTTAGCTTATTAATAACTTTTTTATTTATAAATAAAATTTATTGAAAATCTATATATATATAATTCAAATCATTTTTAAGTTAACTTATTCTGAAAATTTCAGATTTTTAGGACTTTTCTAAATGAAGATCTAAAGCTTTAAAATATCGATTTTTTAATTTTTATAGGAATTATATATAAATTTAAAATTAGTTTTAAAACTTCAATAACTTTTTAATCAAAATTACTAAAAATAAATTATAAATTTTTATTATAAATTTTCATTATTTATAATATAAAGAATTTAAAAAAAATTGAAAAATTTCAATCAATAAGTATTTAGAAAAATACTTTCGAGATTATAGGGATTATTTTTCCTATTTAAGTTATATCTCTATAACTATTAATTTTTTATATAAATTTAAATTCAAAACCTTAAAAAAAGTAATTACTTTCTTTTCATTAATTATAATTAAAAAGTTATTGAAGATTTAAAATTGATTTCAAATTCGTATATAATTCTTATATAAATTAAAAAATCGATATTTTAAAGCTTTAGATCTCTATTTAGAAAAATCTCAAAAATCTAGAATTTTCAGTATAAGTTTAAATGATTTGAATTATATATATACAAATTTTCGATTAATTATATTAGTTATATTTTAATAAAGATATTAATAAGCTGAAAAAGTACTTTTTAATGTAAAAGGGTGGTCTAAAACAAGAGTGGTCAGAAAGTCGAGTACTCGACTTATATATAAATAAAGGGAGGAGCAAGGTTTTACTATTTATTACTATAAAATGTATCTAGTAAGTTAGTCATTTGAATACATATTTATTATAGTAAAAGCAATTCAACCTCGATATCAGAAACACTTACCCCCCTCCTCTTTCTCAGCCTTCAACTCTCAAAGCATCTCCTAGAAAAAACAGATTCATCCTCTCCCGTAAGTTACAACGTTCCTTAAAAAAAGCTAATAAAAAAAGTCCAAAACCGATATGCATGCACGCACGAGACACATAACAAACAAACACTAACCCCCCAGCCGTTTTGCTGAAGAAAATATACCGGAGGAGGCGTTAATCGTGGATGATACTCTATACTTATATTATATAAGCACATGTAGGTGATTGATTTATAAACTTATCATATTATATTCCGTACATGAGGCGTGCATGAGGCGCACATAAGCTACGAGACGATACGATACATACCAGTAATAAGTAAGTAATATAATATCAGAACAATCGATATATATTTCCGTGCCGTGCCGTTGGCGTTAGCTTGGGAAGTGGGAGGGGCAGATCCAACTTCCGAGTGTGTTTGGAATGGGAAGTTGGGGCGGGAAGGGAAAGGGAGGGGGGAATTCTGGATGTGATTGGGATTATGGGGGTTTGTTGTACAGCGTGAGATGGATGGATGGGTGGATGGATGAGGGCGTCGTGTGGGAGTGTGTTGTGTATTTTGCTGCAGTATCTACCTGATGACTGACTTGATGACTTGGATCATGGATGGAGAGATGGAGTAGAGGAAGGGGTTTGGGAGGTGGGGGGAAGGGGAATTTGACTTTTATTGATGCTTAGATATTTGATTTCTTGGATATGTAATTGGTGATTTTGAGGGATGGTTGAATGGAACGATAATAATAATAATAATAATAATAATAATGTTTTTTGTTGTTCCTAGGGTGATATGAATACAAAAGTTATTACTACTTCTAAATACACATATAGTGTGTCTTCCCCGGATATCTAAAGATGTGAGTCAGAATGTCGTTCAAAGTACTAGTAAGGGATGATATGTGGTTGATGATCTTTGAGGTCGATTTACGGAATCTAGCAGGTGGCAGGCAGATGGCAAACGTAACTAAAGGTGTCAGTCAAAAATGAGAGATGTCAATATCGATAGAGATTGCGATTCGATAAGATTATACAAATGGTCCGAGAACAAAACCAAGAACCTAAGATACCTACCTAGGTACCTCGCTACTATATCTGAACCCACCGGACTGTATCCTCATTCCTACTCTAGTTGAACTCCGAGATCCTTCGGTTGGTCGGCCGGTAGTCAAGCATCAAAAGTACCTAGGTACGAGTATTTCTGACAATGACATCCATCCATACTAGCTGAGGTGAGGCTGGACTAATCATGGAAGGGCCGAGAGAAGAAGGCAAAGGCTGACGAAGGGAAATGATGACCTTGGCGTATACGCAAGTCATTGGGAGTAAACCATTCTAGGACTCCGTAAAGGTAACGCATTCTAATACATTTCTGTAACCCATCTCGTAACAATTGTACCTAGGTATAATATAATCGTTTTAACTGGTTAACTCCCCTTTGCGTACTTGGCTCTTTGAGGAAAGACAGCTCCATCAATCTTTGAAAGTGTTACCAAATAATACTCCATATTTACCTAATTGTTGATGGTGCTCGGGGCAATAAAAACTCTCCACATTATGTACGGAGTGAGTATGTGTTTCTGTGCTCTGTATCTATTTTGCCGTTTCAATTTCCTCAATTTCTCTTTCTTTGCGGCCCGGCTTAACCTATGAAAAGGTCTTTTTGATTTTAGATCGTTTTAAGTGGTGTGGATGGAGGAGTTGAGCTTGCTCGAATGTATTTTGCACACTCATTTGGATTCCGTAGTGTATGAGCTTTGAAGAAGCCAGAAACTTACTCTTGGTATCTGAACTCCTCTAGTTTCTATCGGAGTTACTTGTGCTAGATGAGGGTCTTCTTTCCTAAAGCCTTGTTAAATTTCGTATTGCCTTTTGGATTCATATGAAGGAGGGGAGGAAACGAGGAATTTCCTTATTGTGATGTATGAATAGAAGCAAAGGAATGGAGTATAGAAGCAGAAAACTCTATTCATATCCCGATACATGAAAGATTTATTTGTATGACCAGATATGTATGCACTTTGAAATATTGGAATTCGCCTAGCAACCAATGACCATAGATATATATTCATTGAACCTGGCACGGATAAGAAATTCTGAGGACATCACTTGCAGAGGACCTCATCCAAAAGCTTATGAGAATGTTAGAACGCTTTGCCAAGTAAAATGGAAGTAAGTGCAGTCAGTGTGCACAAGCACAAGCACAAGCACAAGCACAAGCGCAAGCACAAGCACGTACAAGCCTATAAGGCGAGGCAAGGTGAAGGAACTGAGAAACTAGAGATTAGAAAAGAGAATCGTCGTTTTCTTCAAATGGATGTGAATTTGAAGTGTGATCAAGGAAAAACCTGGAATGTATGGACTGATAAGTCTAGATTGGGACCACAGTTGTTGTTCCCCCCTCTCTATTTTATGTGTGGTATTAGAGTAAATCTTGATCGTTTGACTTCCTTCTAGGTTTATATTGCTTGACCGCTTATTCCAGAAATTCTTGATCGAGATAGAGGTAGATGGAAGGCATAGGTGTGGATGAGGTAGTTTGGTGAAAGAATATACCATGAGTGAGTGAGTGCGTAGCTGTTTGAGTAGTGTCCTGAGGACTAGGTGGTTAGTTATATTCGATGATATATACATATATAAATATACATATATATACACCTAGCGATCAACAATATAGCCAAATGTGTTTTATACCAGAAGAACTAGTCAAGCTTAAGATAGATCATAGAACTTAAGGCTAAATCATGAGACGAAAAGTTCAAACTTCCAAGATGCTACTGCGTAGACGTGCTAGGTAGCTCCTAGGACTAAATGACTGCTTATGTACATACTAGGGAGTAGCAAGCGTCACAAACTACCTACCTTCTTAGAATCCTAGATAGTTTGACTTTCTCATCGAACTTATACTCAAAAGAGAATATTTCCCGGGAAAGAAAGATTCATAACGAGATCCACCATACTACTATACCACCATACTACTATACCACCAAACCACCATACCACCATACCACCATACCTTAGACCGACCCATGCATGATGACCCATAGACCCATAGCCCGAGAATCACCCCATGTACCATATCTAACAAGAACGGGAACCATCTGATTCGGAATCTAAATCTGATTCTCAAACCCTCTAACCTGATGACTTCCAAAATCTTTTGATCTTCTCCATATACATCTACATCTACATCCACATATACATATACTTAATGGTTAAAATGATCAAGAATTGATTTGAGAAATCATTAAGATTCTTCATCTTACATTTTGGAGTCAATTTCAACACATTACTCATCAACAACACATCGATTCACTTCTCATCCACATTCTCAGTCCTATTATAGGTTATATCATCGACAGCCAAAATACACCAGACACGACCACGACCACGATCACAATCACGATCACAACCACAATCACAACCATATCTACTCATTCACCATCTCACTCCTCACTCGGCTCAATATTCTCATTCTCATTCGTCTTCGTTTCGCGTCACCTTTACGGAATTAATAATACCTCAACCAAAGGATCCTACAATTCAATTCAATACAATACCCCAGTCATTTTCTTTTCCGTCGCGACAATGGCCATTCCGAAGCAGCAGTATCGTCATGCCTTCTGCTAAACTCAACTCTCTCAACCCTCATAAGTCGACAGAATTCAAAAAGATAAAAACACAACCTAACCATTTAAATATATTCGAGTACCTTCCAGCATGTCTCTACTGGGGAAATTGTTCTCTAGTACACCATCTGCTGGACCAACCACCTCAAGATCTTCCAATCCTCTGGATTCCAATTTGGAGGATCATTTTACCTACAACTTACTCTTCCCAGATGCCGAAGCTTTGTGTCACAAAGACCAACTCTTCCCCTTCTCATCGGGAACCGTACTTGCGCCTGCAAATGCGCACACTTTTGACGTCAATGGAGAAATCGATTTGGACCTGCGCGATGTTCGAGTAATTATTATGCAGGAAGCTACATCAACCTCTGGAACTCCATACGTATTATACGATAGTCACACACCTCCGCCAACTTCTCCTTCTCTTGAAAGACAAAATTCAAATGGCTCTGCATTCCCTACAAGGTCCGAAAACCGGCGATCGGTCCCTCCACCACGAAAGACATCCGTAGGACAAAATTCAAGACCGGTCGTTATACAACAGGATACTACAACTGCTCGAGGTTTTGGCGGCGCATTCGATCGGAGATCAACACATAAATCACATTTAAGTTATACAGAAACTGAAGGCCAACGTTCGCTGAGGGAATACAAAGAGGAGGTTACAACTATCTCGAATTGCATATTTGGAAATTCCGAAGTTTTGGCATACAAAGGGACTGGTACAAAGGTTCACATCTTGCCATCGGAGTCAAGATCCTTTGTAGGACCTAGTTCTTATGCTGCAGACGGTTCTTATGGCAGATCAAGTATGCGAGGTAGTAAATTGACACAATCTTTCACTTTGGAAAACGTCGTAGGTCCTACTCCCGCTGGGCTTTCAACAACCACATCTTCACGGGGACAAGATCGAAAAAAGGTTCTCATTACGCGCATGTTTCCAGTACCTCTACCAAATGATGACGTCGAGACTCAAACACCAATTGCAGGACCAGACAAGGATGGATATCCATTTCCAAAAGTTAGTGTTGCTGGCACTCCTGAAAAGAAGCCTCAGCCAAAACAGAAACGGACTCCTATGTATGCGGTCGGATTGATTGTCCATTTGCCAGCTTCACCACCTCGTGCACCTTCAGTGCCGAACTCTCGATCTAGCTTTCGCGCATCAAGTTCCTACAATGAACAGGATTCATTTCCATCATCTTTCAGTTCCACAAAACGTGCAGGTTGGACCATGCTCGGTTCTGGTTATGGCATCGACTCTTTGGAATCTTCGATTCACAGTGATGTGGATGATCGAATTGATATGATTACTCAACACTGGGACATTATCACTCGAACTCTCACTCATCTCCAAGCAGTTGCAACTGAATCTTTGGTATGCCTTCTTCGACAAGCCGATATCAGTTCCCCTGGACCTCGTCGCGAATCACACTCTCGAGCCCCTTCGGCTAGTGTATCAATCGCTGGTAGAAGAGCAGAGGACGCTAAGCCATTCAAGTTACCCAAGACAAATGCGAAATTAGTTCAGCTTAGTCAAAATTGCTTGGTACAAATTCACAAAATACATAAAGAAGTTGATGCTTCACGCCAAAGGATTGTTAGTGGTATCAAAGGTCTTCAGGTGATTACTGGTCAAGGTCGATGGGGAATTTGGCGTGAAGAAGCCAGATTGGCTGAGAGGTGGGCTGGCGGAAAGGATAAGGGATTTTTCTTCTTCAACTTACTAACTGGGTTTTTGGGTAATCACACTGAATGGTTACAAGCATTGGGACCTAGTTGGTATCGTCGGAGACACTATCAAATTCAAAGATCTCACAAAGATGAAGAGATACCTCTTCCCGCGCGAACCATCATTGTTTCCAATGACAAAATGGCAGCAAGACGGTTGATCTTTTTGCTCTCTGCTTTTCTACCCGCGAGTCCACAACTTACATCTCGGGCTCATCGGCCTAGCACGTCGATATCTTTGGGTGGATGCTCACAATCTCCTCCATCTTATATCATACCTATCTTGAGAGAAGATTCACTTCGCCGCAAGATCAACAAACGCTCTAGTACATCACGAACCGCCCACCCGCGATCTGTGAGCTTTCCCGCTCAATCCGCTCAAACTTCACAATCTTCTAAACCTTCATCGGAACAACCCAGTGGCCTTGGAATTACAGTTCATGATGGTCAACAACGTGACAGATCATCATCCGATATTTCCCAAATTAAAACAGCAAATTTGCCAATTCCTGGCAGTGACGGTGGAACTCGAAAGAGCAGCACTGCAACAACAAGGACTGCCACACCAATCACAACAGTTCCACATTTCTCCACGAGAGCTCCAGTCAGAGGAACTGGACCTATACCTAGACCAGGAAGCAGTGGTAGTCTTGCAGCTGATGATCTACTTCGATCTTTGAAGAGAGGTGAAAGCTCCGGTCAATACAGTAATGTAAGCAATGATTCTCAAGGTCAGAACTCAAGATGGGGTAGCATGATTAGTGGTTTCTGGAGTACAAGAAGAAGGCCATCTACAACCAACACGTCAGCTACATCAACGGATGAAGTCGAAATCAATGATCCTTATTACAGAGATATCACTTCACAACCTCGTGGTAAGTTATCAGATACCACTGAGACTGACGCTCCTTTGACAAAGTCAAAAGACCAACAAGATCGCGAGTTAAGGAACTCGGAATCCGGAAGTACCGAGACCGCCAGAGCAATCGAGCCAAGATCAGAGCAACAAGACGATGAGATTAATGAGCAAGTGATTCAAACACCGGAGCGAAGACCAGATCCTTCGGGAGCTTATGAGTCACCAGTCAAGACTACAATTGCTGATGATGGTGCCATTGAAATCGATGTCCCTCTACCTGATTATTTGGCTTTCGAAACGGCTGTCAGCTCGCCATCAAGCAGTGGATATTTGTCTACGCCTGGTTTGGGAAATGGCCTCGAAGGTTTCGAACATTACTCACGTGCGGGACCAGATTCAGACACTACGATAAATGTCGGCGGTTACCTACCCCGTTATCATCCAGATTTTGCATTACAGGCAGTGCCTTCCCATGCGGATCTTATCGCTGAAATTAAGGAATCAATGAGAGCAGAGCCAACACCTCTCATCACATCAACACCCCATGCGGAAGATGGTCGCGCAGATCGATGGGTTGATATTTCTAGTGCATTGGTAGCTGATACTACCAACTTCACAATTACTCATATTCGTTACAGACGACTTGTGAAGCTTAAGGAGAATGTGGATCCTACAACTCCAGCTATCTCCACTTCATTAGAATCAAAATATGGTAATGTTTACTCTGCCGTACTACTCACGCCATCTTTTGAAGTGTATGACGATCACGAAGATCAGTTTATCGAAGATCAGTTAGTCAGCATGGATGAAACATTGATTGAAGCTGTTGAGAGAATTATTGCTCGATCAGGTCAAGCTTCTAAGCAATCATCAGCATGTTCATCTAGATCTACAAGCAGAAGACCTGCTATTGGAAGGGAAAGATCCAATTCAGATACCAAGACTGTACCTGAGGTTAGGACGAATCTCGAGGTTCCAAGAAATGAGTGCAAGAAAATGGTTCTTAGTGCTCTTGAGGAAATCGTGAAGGAAGTAGCAGAGAGTCGAGACGAGACTGTTGGAAACCACAGATTAGAGGGCAGGGAGAAAGAAAGCTTCTTAAGGGAAGGAGTCAGAACTTGGTTAGGAACTGTGGAAAGTGTGTAATAATCACCATGACGAAGAGAGATTCATGGCATTACTGTTTTTTTTTTTTTTTTTTCACGTTTGTATCAACAACACAACTAAACTAACGGCCAACATCATACGGTTCTCAACGATACCCAACAGACAATGTACCACCAATACCAAACATTAAACATGGAGTCTTTTTTATTTATAGAATTTTAGCGTCGGCGTTCGGAGGAAGAAATCTTGCTATGATTGGACAGGGCGAAAGCTCGACACGGCAAAATTTGCTTTTTTGGCTCACAACGCTTTCATGTGAGCAAGTATTCTAGGTATTTCTGCGATTATACCATTTGCATTTTAGGGAGAATGGTTGGGTGGATTGTTATACATCGGGGTCTGGAATGGGTTGGGAATTTTCATTTACACGGATGGGGTGGGTATACAAGGATGGCTGGATGGACATGATAGGGAATTGGGTTGAAAGAGGAGTTCTTTTTAATGATCGAGGGAGGATATGATGAGAGATGAGATTTATTTTCGCATGAATGCGAAGAATGGATGATGGACGATGGGCATGATATTGTGGCAATAGTCATGCAAGGTATAGGAGCAGAGAATATTGTGGAATGGATAGAATGACTTTTAGGTCGTTCTGGATACTTCGATGCTCATCTCTTGGTTAATTTTCCTTTTGTGGGGTGGAGAAAACTTGCTCTGAATCTTACAATTTGCATTTGCTACTATCTTCAATGGCGTGGTGGGCTGTGCACGTGTGCATTTGCATATATGTTTGATGATGAAGCGAACTATCCGTCCGAAATATTACCATGGCGGATGAGTGGAGAAGGTGGAGCCATTCCGAGTAGGGGTCTTTCATGGTCGGTGCGGTGATTGGAGAGGCGGGGTGGAGAGGGTTTTTTAGAGGCACATGTGCTGTGGAGTGGAGATCTATGGTTGGTTGTCATGCAATTACTTGACACGACATGGATGATTGAAGATTTACCTAGGTATGGATTTACTTTAGAGTAGGTAGGTCGATTAATGGAGAAATTCAATATCGGAATTTGATTTGACGCTTCTGCGGGTTTGACTGTTCATGTGATGATATTTTGTGTACTGTGAAGAAAGGAAAAGTTGAAACGAATTATTGTTTGGTTGTTTTTTGATGAGGCGAACGTGTTGAATGGATTTAGTGTGTTTGGTGCATGTGTAAGTGATGAGTGGAGTATGAGGGATTTTCAGGTCGCTGCAGGATCTTAGTAGCGGGGAGTAGCGCGAGGATAGCTTGAAATTAGCTTGAAAACATATCGCTTAGTGTGTACGAATGGTTCGTTTGTGCTGAGTGCTTGTGTAGATTTTACGCTTGTATGTACGGAGTATGAGTATGTTGTTATGCATATTTAGTTTATGTGTGTGTGTGTGTGTGTGTGTGTGTGTGTGTATGTATATATGTATGTATGGAGACTAGTGTAGTGAGGGTAGTGTAGTGTAGTGTAGTGTAGTGTAGTGTAGTGCTAAAGCCTGAAGATTGAAGAATTTAAGGATTGGAGAACTGAATGATAGATGATGGATGATAGATGATGGATGATGGATGATGGATAATAAATGATGGATAATAGATGATGGATAATGGATAATGAATGATAGATAATAAATAATAAATAATGGATGATGGATTAATGTATGGACTTGTATATTTATGTATGTGTATGCGTGTGTGTGCACGCGTGTACGAATATTTTTGTATATAAAATGGATATTATAGATCATGTGTTCTGGGTGGGTGATGGATGTAAATAAAGGGTATGTATGTATGTATGGTTACTGGTTAATTGTTACTGGTTAGCTAGATACTGGTGCATGGGGTATAGAAAGAAGGAAAGAGGGGTAGGGGTAGGGGGGATTTGTAGATGGTCATTTGCATATGGGAAAAACTTGTATTTTGTGGTGTGGGACTTAAGGGGGTGGTTTATATCTGGGATTTGGGACTTTGGGTGGTGGGATAGATGGGGAGACGATGGATATGAGGAATGAAAGGGGGATGGGGAAGTAGTTGTTGGTAGTCTGGAGTTCTGAGAATGGGGTGGAATGGAATGGAATTGTGATGGGAAGTCTGGGAGTTGGGTAATGAAAGGGGGGTTTTTATCTAGGGTGAGGTGAGCCGAGGGGTTTGGAGTGGTTTGGAGTGGTTTGAGTTGTTTTGAAGGGGGAGAGAGAATGGTGCGAGAAGGCGAGAGAAAGGAAAATGGAAGAGATGAAGATGTTTTGGAGTCTGGATTTGGATTTGAGAATATTGTTCATTTTATTTATGAATGAGGAGAGGTACTGTACGAAGGGGGATTTGAACGGATGTGGATGTGGATGTGACTCTCTTAAATGGGGAGGGAGGCGGAAAAGAAACGGGAAAGAAGGGGAAGAGGGAGATGTAATGAGGGAAGCTGCTTGCTTGCTCGCTGTGAAAATCCAGATCGAAGATACAATAGAGATTGATATGAGCTTGAAGGGTATTGCCATTTTGGAAATTTAGAAATATGGGTGGGTGTCTCCTGAGTCATAATTGGAAGTTGTGCGGATGGGATTGGGAGGTTGGGACTTTGGCAGAGATGGGAGTGGATGTGGTAGATTTCCATGGATTTGGGTGTATTTTGAGGTTTGTGTTTCACTATTTACTAGTGCGGGAGTTAAGGTTGTGAGGAGTTGGGAATAGCGGATGTGAGATATGGGATATGGGACGGTGATATATGGAGTAGGTAGGTTGGTGGTTGATGGTGGATGGCTTACGGGGAGGGAAGGAGATTGCGAAAATCAAATAAGGTTGTGTAGAAGAGGGACTAATCAGAGTTGTGTTGGTGATGGGCAGGTTAGTATGTGGAACTGAGAGGATTGTGATGGGAGTTGGATATGTAGGATTTAGAGTTGGATGAGAATAAGCCAGAAGATTGCAGTGGAGTGAGTATGTCTGTTGATAGTTCTTGGGATAGGGAGGAGAGAAGTATTGAGTGGGAAGGAGGACATTTTTCTATATTAAGAACCGAGCAATAATGGATGCTGGATGTTACATGTGTATTAAAATATAATTCGAGACATACGATGACTGTTCCAGGTTTGCGCAAAAGCATCAGTAACGGTGTACTTGAGTAGACAGATAGGTGTAACTAAGTATATGTATATTTCTGAAAACAAGAATCTTGATAGATCACGCCTACTTGAAGTATGATTTCTTGTCATGATTAGATTTAAATTAGCATATTTGTTCTACAATCGATATGAAGCAAGTCTTGTTCCAAACACATGAATATTTACGAAGAAGTCTATCGATAACTAGATTTGTTTTGACGATACAATCTCTTTTCATTGATTTCAACGTCAAGAACCTCCATGTTTGCCATGCGTTTAGCAAGCAGATGAAATATTAAATAAATTTTGGATATGATTTTAACGGAACTACAAATTCTCTGTCATTCTCCTCTGCTTGTAATGAGATTTGATGCATTTGAAATAGTTTCGCTGTGTGCTATCAATTTTAAGGGGCTGTCGGGTAAGAATTTACTCGGTAGGAAGAAAAAGAGCACATTCCGAAGATAAGCCGCGCTGTGCTCCCTCTTGCTTTTCACGGTGATAATTACAATACTTGCTCTTTTTCAGAAGAATGCGTAAGCAAGGAATGTGCCAGCTATTTCGAAGATTTCGGAACTTTTTTTAGATTGCAAACGTGTCCGATTTGGAAATGTAGATATGTCATATTTTGAAAAGTTTGTCAATCCATGACTCACGTAAAAACGTGAGAACATGAGAATCACTGTACACGAAACGGACTTTGAAAAGTCACCAGCGAGGGGAGACTAGTGGGAAAAGAGTTTATTTTAGGCCCGCTTCGATACCTCAAGGCATCGAGAAGTGAAAATAGCCTCTAAATACATCATGGGGATTGAGCTTGGCTATTCTCGGCCCCGAGGACATGATTCTATCCAATAGGTACCAGGAATCGTTTGCATGATGGATAGAGGTGACTCTGTTCCAACAAGTTCCAAGATTAGGTAGAGTTCAATGGCTCTCTTGGGGTTTGACTGCCGTTCTACAAAGTGGACGAACCCCGTATTGTGTGGAATCCCGTGGGTGTGGAAATTCCAAATTTATCTAATGTGTCCCTTTCTTCACATTTGATCGAAACTATATGCAATGACTTTTGAAAATCAACAACAAGTCATTGCAATTCTAGAAGGACGTCAAAATTAAATGATGGATACATCCGTTTGTGAAATAAACTTTTAGGGTTGAAGCGGCTGAGGACTCAGTGAAGAGATGTGAAGATTAGATTAAGGTTAGAGTTCAACTAACCATGCTCGGCGAAGTAGCTTGGCTTGAGGCCGACTATCTCAAAATCCGATCTTAAATCAATCAAATCTTCACAATCAACCAAGAATATATCCAAACAATGGCGTTATAGAAGGAATCTTGGACGGAAGGCCTTGGAGATGTAGAAGGTAGAGATCAGATTGCTTATATATTTGGCAAAGTTTGATCGTAATTTATCTGATCTTCGAATTTGGCACTAGTGTCGGGACCGAGAATATCTGTAAACGTAAAAATAAGTCGTCTCAAGTATGAATTTACAGCGCTAGCTCGTGCCTTGCACAGATCTTGGATGAGGGAAATTGCCGCGATACTAGTGGCCTCAGTATTAAGTAAAGGAGACTAGGAACCATATTTATATAAAAAAAAGCATTGTTCCCGAAACCTGATCTATGCGTATGCTCGCTGATGTCGGGACCGAACTGTCTTTCTTTGTCTGAGCTACCGGCATGAACACGCGTCTTTGTTGCGTGCCGAATAACTAGAATGAAGATGGAAGGACCTAGTGCACAATGCGAGTCAATTTAAGGATTAATTGAGTCGTTTCGGGTTTAGGGAAATACAACCTGACTTGTGAGTCAATGTGATAACGTCGTGGAGCGCTAATGGTATCCCATCCCCTATTATATGGTTTGTATGTGAGAAGGTTGAAATGGGAAAATACCGGTAGCTTGGGCTGACGACGCTGGTGTTTTTCAGACGAAGTTATTACCGTGCAGGTGAGTTTCACAAACTCGTCAGCGTGCGCGGGTAAGTTGGCTTTCAGATGAATTTCGGATGACTGCTGTAAATTCTCGTAGCCTCAAGAAGACTGGGAATGGTCTACCAATACCAAAAATTCTTGCTCGGCTACTAGCCAATCTCGTCCGCGGCTCACCATCGGAGACTTTTTGGAATAACCTTATTGTCTAGTCGACAGAAGGACTTAACGCAGAAAGATGAGAATCCTTTGTCGTGAGGTAAACTTATGTTTAATGCCAATTGCCATTATCACCAATATGACTCTGACGTCCCTTCTGTGTCTGCTCTAGCCTCCCGGACCTCGCCTTTGTTCTATTAAGCTCGTTCTGGTAAGGTGCTACCCAAAGAACTTTGATTTTAGTTCAGTTCTAAGAGAGCGGTCAAACTAATCTGATAAATACAATGGAGACATGATGGAAACTTTCCGTAGTAAGGTTACGCGTCTACGCAAATTTCCCAGCTCCAAAACGCTTCCACTGCCGGTCCGCAAGTCTAGCTAACAAGATCCTGACCGGTATGTCAATTACAACCAAGGCATTTCATACTCTTTGACCATCAAATGGCTCTACCATAATTTCAAGCAAACACAACTAGACTATTGAGATTGCGCGTCTCATAGGGCGCAAGCAATAACACTAGGACTTGCGTACTTGCACGGTGTATGCTGGGATGCATGGTGGCGTGTAACATCCAATCTAGTTATTGATGCTATGCTGAACGTCGAGTCGAGATCGACAAGGTGGGACAAACGTTTCCATCTCTTTTCTCAATGTTTATAATATCTCAGAGTTCTCCTCCAGATTATTTCTCCTCATCATCAGATTTCAGTCCTTTCATTCGCTTACCACCCGACGATCTGAACTAATACTTCAACTTCAACGACATTCTTTCTATTTTATTTTTCGATTCCAGTTATGCGCCAGTCGATGCGAACTGGAGCTGTTGCAGCTATTGCTGCTTCAACAGCAAACGCCGCCTCCCTTGCAGATGTTTGCACTGTTATCAACGTCCAAGCTGCTTTACCCGCAAACGGAACATTGAACGGCATCAACCCAATCTCACCTTCCGTTACCGCTAACGCCGTTTACAACGCCACAGTTAATTCGGTAGCTTACAACTACTGCAACGTTACTGTTACCTAGGCTCATCCTGGTAAAGACGAGGTTGTCGTTTGGTACAACTTTCCAAGCCCAGAGGACTGCAAGAGCCGTTTCTATGTTGGCGGTGGAGGTGGATATACTCTTGGTGCCGACCCAGCTTTAGGATTACAATATGGTGCCGTTGCCGGTGTTTCAGATGCAGGTTACGACGCCATTGGTGGGGTCAACCTTGACTATGTTGTCTTGACTGGAAACGGATCTCTTAACTAGGATAACATCTACATGTTCTCATACCAAGCACTTGGTGAGATGACCAAACTTGGAAAGGCCATGACTTCATTGTTTTATGGTAGCATTAATTCAAGCGCAAAGGTCTATACCTACTATGAGGGATGCTCTGATGGTGGACGTGAGGGTATGTCCCAAATTCAACGATTTGGCTCCGAATACGATGGTGTCATTACTGGCGCTCCAGCTTTCCGATATGGACAACAACAAGTCGTAAGTTAACCCCTAACCCAGAAAAACCTAAACAATAGCAATTACTAATCTCCACCAGGATCACTTGTTCTCCAACGTTGCCGAGGTTATGATGAACTATTTCCCACCTACTTGTGAGATGGACAAGATCGTCAACATGACAATCGAGGCTTGCGATCCGCTTGATGGACGTACCAATGGTGTCGTATCCCGAACTGATCTTTGCAAGCTCAACTTCAATCTTAACAGCACCATTGGCGCTGCTTACTATTGCGAGGCCTCATCTAGTAGCTCCCTTGGATTTGCTTTCGGTCAAAAGGTCAAGAGACAAATGGGTCAATCCACCGCCTCTACACCTGCTCAGAACGGAACTGTCTCTGCTGAAGGCGCTGCTCTCGCTGCTCAACTCTACGATGGTATGATTAATTCCAAGGGTCAGCGTGTCTACCTCCCATGGCAGCCGGCTTGTGCATTCCAAGATGCTACTAGCTCCTACGACAACACTACCGGCACATGGGGAGTTGATATTGCTTCCACTGGAGGTGAATTCGTTACCAAATTCATCCAAAGACTTGACCTCGACAACCTTGCTTCGCTTGAAGGCGTCACCATGGACACTCTCCAAGAATGGATGACCGAGGCCATGGTCATGTATATGGACAGTTTACAAACCACTCTCCCTGACCTTACTGAGTTCCAAGAATTTGGAGGAAAGCTCATTCATTACCACGGAAAATCTGACGACAGTGTCCCAACCGGTTCTTCAGTCCACTACTACGAATCTGTCCGCTCGATTATGTATCCAGATCAAGAATTCAACGCTAGTGTCTCCTCCCTTAAGGAATGGTACAAGCTTTTCCTTATCCCAGGAGCCGCCCATTGCAGTACCAACACTCTTCAACCAGGCCCTTACCCAGCCGATAACATGGCTACCATGATCGACTGGATTGAGAACGGTATCGAGCTAGAGAGACTCAACGCTACTGTCGGTAGCGGTACCTACGAGGGTGAGGTTCAAAAGCTCTGCGCCTACCCATTGAGACCTATCTGGGATGCCGAGGGTACTTTCTCTTGCGAGTATGACCAAGCTTCCATTGACAGCTGGACTTACACTTTCGATGCATTCAAGATGCCAGTCTACTAGATATGTCTTAGTGTTATACCAAGAGGTATACCAGAGATGGAAATGGTGTGCGAATAGAGTGGGCGGGTGTATCTGTAGCATTTGATTGGAGTCGAAAAGGTTATCGCATGCGTAGCTTGATTTTTCCTTCTTCACTTCGTGTATATTTTGCCATTCTGCATTAGCAGTCTTTTATATCAACCAATTTCTGCCTTCACCTTAATTTCCCTATAACATTCGAGGCCAAAATTAGCCTATTAGCCTATATAAGGAGCATATTATATATATCTAAAAGCTCACGTATAAATAATTTCCCTGTGAGCTTTCATTTAAGTTGTATCGATCGACAAAGAGCCGCATAACAGTCAGAAAAGATCTAGAGTATCAGATATAACCCTTCTGGGAAAGAAAAGATTGTGAATCTTTCATTTCACCACACTAAACTCGAAACGCATTAGAATGCACAGAAGCTAAAGTGCTTATCTGGAAAGCGCTTCGTTAGGATAGATTCTGAATCATTGCAATGCGGGACGAGGTAAATCTATGCTAGAAGTTTAGAGATTGTGATACTACAAAGTATGTGCAGGTGCTCATGTACTGAGGTGGATGTGTGTGTTGGTCAACAGTTCGCATATCTGATCTTTCCGATATTCCAGTGGAGGTGATTTTTATGGCGCCCTTGTGAGTAGATGTAGATCACACAAATGGGATAAGTCACCTGGTTACTTGCCAGATCTGGTAGAAAAAGAGTTCCAAGAAAATCACTACTGTATTGAGAATACTTCTTCGTTAATCCGTGGTTGGTGAACACTAGGTCATTTGATAAATTGAGGGGTCGAGGTGGATAGCGCTAATGGTGGGGTTAATTCTATGAGCAGGGTTCGCATGAAGCGCAGTTTATTTTATTTTTCACTCTGCATAGAATGTGGGGCATGAATTTATACGTTTCATTATTTTTTCATGTGTTATGATGTTGTATTGTGCGTTGTACAATTGTGTTTTGTGTTGATCTGAATGACCCTTCGGGGTTCGGGACGAAATTACCAGCAATGTGCTTGTTGATGTCGTGATCCAGCATTAGCGGTTTGTGGTAGAGTGAGGCGAAATGGAAAAGAGTGGTGTATGAAGCTCAAGGATGACCGTTGATTAGAGATTTGAGGATATGTCTAGCAGCTTACCCATGTTTATGCGGCTCAAGGAGGGGCAATGGAAACTAAAATCAGGATCCAAGATCTTCCGTTGATAGGGGTCTAGTGGTCCAGTGGCGGTTAGAAGGGATTCCAATGCTTTGTGTCGCCTCTACTTGGGACAGAAACAAGTAGCACAAACTCAATGTGGGTTTCTTCCATCGAACCACTTGAATGCCGCAAGCGCGGATGATCAATGATCTATTTCGGTGGCAAATCACCTCCATGGCGGGGTGAAAATGACTGGAATCAGGGTCCAAAGTTCATGTCGGTGAAGAAGTGCCAATGCACTCCTGGTGGGGACGTTGATGGGGAGTTTGCCATGATTCTAAAACGTTGCTGCCGGACATTTATAGCGCTCATGAATCATCGAGCGCTGTAACCGCAGATAGCACGTCAAGAAGCTTTGAGCTTGGGCATGAGCATGAGCGACGCTGTTGAGGCAGTATTCTAATTGGAACAGGACACCTTTAAGTAGCCCAGACCTATTGGGCTAATATGCTCCCTTGAGTAGTTTTGGTCTTATGGAATGTTAAAAATTCTAACCTTACAAGGTATCCTAAATATCATGCACAAAAGCAGCCGAAACTAGTGTTTTAGCTGACTTACTTGATTTGGAAGTAGTTCCTATTTGGGCAAGAAAGTGCAGTGCAGTGGTAAATATGAAGTTTTTACAAAAGAGCGACCAGTACCCAGAATCCAGTCCGTCGAGAGCTTCCCAACGTCACGAGGCTAAGATGATGCCATTAACCACTCTGTGGGTTGGCAAACACTCATGTGATTCAACATGGATCATAAATTCTAACTATTACGTAGAACTTGAAAATTTAGGAAATACAATTGGTTAGCACCGTGGTGAGCTCAAGAGAGCCGAATAGAACAAGATAAAAGCACATGCAAACTATGTTTGTATCGATATAATATAACACATTCATTCCTCAAAGTTACGAAGTCTTATTTTACAGTTTTAATACCCTTAAAAGTGCAATACATAATGAAGAATATGAGACGAAAGTAGCACATTTCTTTTCTGTTCTCGCTTACCAGCCATAATTTTCGACAAATCTCGGGAGGTATGAGACCAACTTTCATCCAAAATAGGGATTGGACCGAAATTTTATGACCCGACTTCGAATTTTTTTTACTTATGACGACAACCGATCTATGAACAGTTTGACAATTTGTTGAAGAGTTGTGCAGCTGTTCATCGTGGGTACAATGTTTCCGACTATCTAATAATGAATATACCCCACACCTGTTCTCTCAACGACTCAGGTGCTTCATCTTTAGAAATCGCTGCCAAACCTCGTCTTATTGTCATTACCATACGCTCATCTATCTGCTACGTAGTGTAGTATACTTGACAAGAGGTATCTAGACCGTAACTAAATTCAAACTCCTCGAAACAGAAGCCAGTAATAGGTCAATTTCGTTCCATTACCGATTATCGTTTTACAGAAAATGCGTCAGAAACTAGCAGCGTGTCCCCATCCTCCCCTTTTCATTCACTTTTCATCAATTCAAGGTTCAAATCTAGAATTCTCAGTTGATCTAGACGATCTATCCAGAGCATTTAATCATCTAGTCGGTACAACGTGCTATGCACCTCGCTATAACTACATAGGATTTACTACGTATTTTGAATTTGCGATTGAGGAATTCAATCGTCTTTCTATTTAAGAAGGAAGATATTATGTTTTATCTACTTTCAACTACATTCATAGAAACTATGCCTGCCATGAAGACATTCCAAGACTCAACGAAGTGGGATCCGCAGAATATATACTGTCGTTATATGTGGGAAGCTACGCAATCTTTTATCCAAAAAAATTGATCCATGGCTACATTTTCGTCGCATCATGACTCTCACCACTATTGTTTATACCGTCATCGTCCGACCGAAGAAGTCTTATCGTCGGTCAATCATCACAACGTAAGAATAATCATTGATAGAAAAGCCAAATCGGACTGAACATGTCAGCCATTTCCATTGTCTGTAGAAATAGACTCAAATGTAACCCCTATGCCATGATATATAAGAAATAAGTGCTCTTGGTGTTTGGGTCTTCAGTCCAGCAGAAATGACTTATACTTATATCATAGACGGGTGATCGATATTCACTTCCCCGCACCAAACACTGCTTGACAAACCATTCACCGGAAGACCTAGTAGTAAACAATCAATACCGGGCAGCATAAAGGTCATTCGCAAAGTGAGAAAGACATGACGACAGGACAAATTTCTTGTACATGTTTTAGTGAATTGAACCATCTTCTCCCCGATGTGATGAAGGCTAAAACTCTGCTCTCACACCATAAATATCCAACAAGCCGTGAACTAGCACTGGCATATCAAACTTACAGGTTGATTCTGGAACACCACGAGGATTTTTCCAGAGAGAATGTGAGTTGTTGTGATGATATTGAAGGACTCAGGACCTACGTCTCGCGGTTTACTGGAACGGGTTCACGATCGAATCGTCGGATTCGACAGTTATTGTAGTCGCTGATCTATATTCTTGTCACAAAAAGAAAAGCAAAAAGATGCCATTAAGGAATAAACTTACAATATGGGGCTCAATTAAGACGATATGGTATCATTTACGGACTGGATGAGAAGAGGTGAAGCAGTTGGCAGCGAGTCCTGTGTGAACTTGTAGTGAGCAGATAAATAGTCTGATGGGGTGGGTTAATAGCTCTCAAGCTATTCATTTATAGAAGCGAATTATGTATATAGAAATTTATTTGCTCCAATCAATCAGGGCAAGCTCACAGTTTGTGAACTTAACTTCAGATGGAACCTTGTATCAAATCGTGTGTATAATTCTTCATCTACCACCCCATGCTCTATCACCACTCACAGCGATGGCACCAAAATCGTTCAGTAATCCAAGGCGCATTCTGAAGTTTCTCCAGAGAAAAGCGTATCTCGTTGTGCCATTGCAATTTGGGCTGACGGTTAAGTAGCACAGTCTTGATAAGTTAATCAAGAACGATCTATAGAAAGCTTTCTATTCAAGTACTAAGTTTTTACTATCAAAATGCTGCTCTTGACCATCGAAGTTTTTATTATCATTCATATGACTTATCATGATCTTGAAAATCACCATAAAACACAGAGTCATGAAAAAGTTATGTAGCCAGTACGCGAATGCCGCGGGCAGAACTCCGAACAATTTTTGGACTATTGTCCGGAAGAAGCTTCGACGTAAAGTTGAGTGAATAACAATAGCGAAACCACTGTGCCCACTATTGTCAAAGACAGACTATCTTATGGTTTTACTCACTATCCATCATTATTCTAATTGTCTTCTGTAAAGTCCAGCTGTAAACGCAAATTTCGAGGACAGGTGGGCTTACCCTTGAAGCCATTGGCGCGCAATCTGATCACCCATTTCTGGATATCTATTGTTGTTGAAGCATATACTCCTCCATCTATTCGGATCTTCTTGGAGGTTAGCTCTAGAATAATAACAATAACATTAGTATTCTAGTATTAGTGAAAGTTTTGGCACTTTAGCTTTAGGAACAAACTGAATATATAATATGAGAGTTAAATTGAAGTCAAATTATAAGAAAGAGCTTGATTGAATTGAATTTGCTTACTTTTTCTAGGTTTTCTTTAAAGAATATTGTAGATTTATATTAATTTATAATGAAATTCTAATAATTTTTATAATTATAAATAAGATTAATTCAAATCGAATCTTATAGAATCATTTATATTATAGTTATAAAAAAAGTACAACTAATCCATCCGCAACTACAAGAACAATCTCCGCGATACATCAAGTGTGAGCAGCAATTGATGGAAATCTGAATTCTACCAGTCTCTCAAACTCAATTTTTCTCGGCATGTTTTCGATGAGTTACACATGAAAACGAAAACCTTTTGCGAGTCGGATCTTCGATTAACACTATCGATACATATTTGATAACAAGAGAGAGCCATAATTGTGATACTGTTGAGTAATTGTTGTCAAGCGTTCCTTTGATGGCTTGATATGCCACAGACGATGTATCTAGCCGATTTGCCGAATTTATGCTATCAAGAAATTGGAACAATTGCAAATTGCAAGTAGTATTTCACTATCATTCTTGTACTCAAAATTACTAACTGCAGTGTCCATAAATCCGAAAGTCTCTTGCGAATCTGGTAGCACTTCGGTGTTGAGAACTCACTCTTCCTGCCACAATTCTTACTCCTAAAAGCGTTGGATTTATATTTCATGAGTTTTTTCAATGAAAGAGATGGAACCAGAATCCTCAGTCACAGTATCACAATTTCTGCTATAGATTTGGCTTCTAGACAAAGCAAAACTTCATACGCGAAAGACCTAATTCGGATTGAAAAACAAGGGATATCGCGTAGCAATGGTAGTCCTTAAGATTATTTGACTTATGGGAGTAGTCTGCAAGATTTGGTTCTTTCACTAAATAGTGATTTTGTGATTTTGTGAGGAGATTATGAAGGGAAAGACCCTGGCAGCAATAATTTGGATGAGTGTGACACTAAACAATTTTCAACAGCAATGAACGGAACCTTGATACTCGATACACTATCATAAACCCAATCACTTAAGCTTACAGTGTCATCAAAATTACCCGCAACAAGATCGCTCCATCTCCAGGAAAATCTACGTTACTTTAGATATGCCAATTTGTTCCAGAGAAGGCGTATATGATTACCCAACTCTAGATTGACGTGTTTTGGGAAGAAAAAAGTCTCTGGACGACGTGGCATGATTTATGTATCCAATAATCAGCTCTGAAGTTAGCATTTGTAGGTGCAATATGGAGAAGTGAATAGTCACTGATACCAAAAAGATAGGGACTCTGCATTTGAATCACAGTTTCCAGTAAGTGTTCATGAGTACTATTTTATCCATCTGAAGATAAGTGAATCCTCTATCAAAATAGTAAAATACACCTCAAAGTTTTTGAGAGAAGATTTTCTCAGTTCTGCAACCTACGAGGAGTCTGTGACATATCTCCCATACGAACGGTGACTATTTCCCTTACGAAAAATACTGATAATCGGACATTATTAGACGTACGCTACCTTCTCGAAAGATATCTTATAAGATAGGTGGATACTATGGATGAACACATGAGATAATATTAAGAATGACCCATTATCAAATTGGAAGGTGCAACCCCAGCCCAACACGAGTACCACAGCAATGTTTTCCCTTCAAATTGGAAATGTGGTACAGATTATCTATCTCTCCCTCAAATTTCATTCTCAGTCAAGAAATACCCATAATCCTCTTACTGCGTAAATCTTTCACCTCGCACACACAAATTCACTTTCCGCTTCACTTTCCGCTCCTCCCATCATGACCACCCACTAGCGTGCTTTCCCCAAGTTCATTCTTATTGCTGATGATCTATTGGCTCCTAACAAACCTAAAAGTTTGCGCTCGCTCTTCTATTGGTTCCAGAAAGCTGATTACGTCAATTTCGAGATCGATCATGTGTGCAACAAAACGCAACAGAGGGTCTAGATTGGGTTCTAGATTGTAAAGAATTCACTTCTAGAAGTGAGGATATAGAGTCTAGAAAATTCTATGGTCCAAGCTTTGAGGTTCATTTTAGGTTGGGGTTTATTGCTAGTATATGGACGGTTGTTCACTTGCGTGTGTTGCCAAAATGGGATATAGTGACATGCCCGTAAACTCATCATCCAGATGAATAGGTCTTGCATTTGTATTGAGCTTGCACTCGGGGTCTTATACATGCTTTCGTTGCGAGTACGTCAAGTTGTACAAACGTGTCAAAAGGTGAGGTTGGTGGTCTAGTTCAAATCTAGATGTACGTTACATCCCTTTCAAGTTACAAATATATCTTTGTACTTTGATGACATTGTCGCAAGTGATTTAATTCCCTGTCTTTTTTACGTGTTGTTTTTACCAGCTCCTACAATTTTATTAGACAGGCCATTTTCGAAGTTGTCTCTCAGCTGAAAATATGCTTTGGATGCCTCTCAGATCCACATTGAATTCATACCGCCCCAGATACTCGCATCTCATGTAATAGTAATAGACAGTGAATGCCCAGCCCTACCATCTCTTGCCTGGTGACGTAGTGTAGAGGCTAAAAATCCCCGTCCCGCCCTCCCACGTTTCTTCATCCATCATAGAAGCTAAACCCCAACAAGCCTTCGGGCCTGAGTTTGCGCTCAAGAATCTATTGACTCCTTAATAGCATCTCACTCTGCGCTCGAGATTCCATTGGCTCTTTCTCCTTTGCTTACGTCAAATTCGAGAGTGGACCTCATTTTGTAGATATGCAACAAAACCATTCCCAGAAGCCGGACTTCAGACGATTTTCTTTGGTGAATGAGATCGCTAAATATATCTGGCCACTCATAGGTCTAAAAATACAATAAGATCCGCCCAAACGTGGAATATTCCCGCTACTGGCATGGCAATTATCTGCCCTAACGTAGGGCTGATCGATCCTGTTTGCGCTTGTAAATTTATTGGCTCTATAAAGGACTTCTTCTTTGCGCTCATGATTTCATTGGCTCATTCAGCTTGCTTACGTCAACTTCGAGAATGGGTCAAGTTTTACAGATATGCAAAAAATTCTCGGTTAGAATTCTAGTCTGTGGGCTGTGGTGAATTTCAGATGGTCGACTATTCACTTCCACTTTTAGCGTCAACCATTTTCTTCACTTGCTCAAAGTTATGGATGTCACATAGTTTTGAACTCTACAACATGTCACTTTCATGTAATATAAGACCATTGCAAATCGGTTCCAGCCAATCTATGACTCAACATTTATAAACAAAACGGTGTGACCACTGACCATAAAACTGTTATACCGGATTCTTCTCTACCTCTTTCCTTCCTCAAACTTTGCTACTACGATCTGTTACCTAACCCCTACATATTACCAGCGAAACAAAGTTCATGCGACCAGGAATATAGCACATCTGAATCAAAAATGAAGAATCAAAAAATATACTCTCGTCATGAAGTCACAGCTACCGAAAGCACCAACACCACTTGCAAATCATCCTTACCGTCAAGGTAACTATTTATCATCGCTTTCAATCGCCGACTGCACCTCAAATTATCATCATTTAGCTGTAATCCCCGAGATTCGAAAGACGAGAATTCGTCTATCCAGCCATCATTCTCTCAATCTCCCACCACCAAAGCACAAAATTCCATCACGACATCCACGTACCAAAAGTTAGTCCATTTTTCCACTTCAGATAATTCTCTATTTATCTATACCATCAGAATGCACTTTCGAAGCGCATCACAGCGCATTTACTCTCATAACTAAATTCCAATGAAAAGTGTGTTTTTTCAGCTTTCAACCGTCGACCAATCAGAAAGCGAGCGCATTTTTTCTGATGTGCAACAATACGTTTTGGAGCGTGATGTCACGTGAGTGGTCTCACTACCCTGATGCTTGTTGCGAGATACTACGATTCTTTAGAATGTACTCCCGAAGTGACGTCAACATAGTAGAGCGGTCGTGGGGTACACCTGAGGTAATCGTTTGGGTTTTAGGAGCGAGAATTATTTATACTACAGTGACAATTCTCTGCGTTGGACATGTCTTGGAAGTTTGATCGCTAGAGAATAGCGGCCACCCTAACCTTATTGTTTATTACGTAATGTACTCATCTTCCAGAAATCCTCCGCAAGGAAATATAAACTGGTGTTCTTCAAGTATCAACCGTTCGCAAGACAGATCAAGAAAATTTATACATCTAGCTGAGCATCGTGATCTCCAAAGATATTCATGATTGGTTTCCCATCAAAAAGACTCAAGCTGAATTCTATTGCCTTAGAACCAGGTATCTACCATTAAGCAAGTCACATTCTGGAAACGAGCTACACAATTAGATCACAGTCATTTCTAAGAATTTTTGCATACAAATTCAATCGTTATGATTTTTCTCTTCGAGGGAACTCAATCAATAGAAACTTAAGGAAACATTGCTTTTCCCTCCTTAGAATTACAAATTCCTTCTCACATGTTCCTTAGTTAAGACAAGTGCAAGTACAATAGCTGTTGCTTCAACTTCTAATATCACTTTTGATCCTGATAGAGATTTGGTACTGCCTCTGGGTCCTAAGCTATCTGATTCCTCCATGGTAGGATCCTACATCAACGTTGCTGGCACAATTATCTTTGAGGACGTGAAACGTATATCGAATAGAGAAGCAGCCATTCTACCGACGATGCAAACCATAATCGAACTCTAACCCTGTCATACCCTTGTTCTTCAAGCTGCTTTTTATGAGTTTCTACTTCCCTCGCAACTTGATTCTGTTTTCTTCTACTTCTCTAAGGGTCTCTCTATGACTTCGTATATCTTCCTCAAACTTTTTTGTCTCTGCTAACGCGTGAAACTCCTCTTTTAACTTTATCTGTCGCTCTAGATATATCCTTGCTATTTGAAGTCCTTGCCGTAACTCCATAGCAACCAAGAATTCCTTTACTTCTTTAGGATCTTTGTTGATCCATCTGGCACACATCTTTATACTTACATCAGTGTTTTTCATCTTATCCTCCAACTTTTTCAGATGCTCTTCTTTTGTAATCTCATTTGTTCCTGAAGATGAGGAACCTTTTTTTTGATTGTCTTTGCTTTTCTTGACTTGATCATTGGACGAAGAGTTTTGGATTGCGGATTTTTTCTCCGATGGTGGGATTCAAAGGGCGAGTTTTGACGGCGTGTGTTGGGGTTTCCTTTGGTGTGATACTCCTCCCTCTCTCGCTTCTCTTTCCTGAAGATGACATTATGATAATCAGAGCTAAAAATCTTTCTTTTGAGTTTTTAAAGATAATTTATGAAGATTGTTGTGAAATTTAGAAGTTTTTATTCTTTATTGCATTGAAAATTGATACATCTAAGTTAGTCGCTATTCATATTTACGAATAACTAGGTTTTAAGTCTTTATAACAATTTTTTTTTCTTCAATTATTAGGCACCGTGATTTTTGGTGGCCTACTCGATTGTTACCTACGATGATTATAGCATGGGGCTGGCTAAAAGCGGGCCAAGTTCAAAAATTTAGCTAGGTGTCAGGGCCGACTCGTATCGTAGCCACCCTGCCTAACGGTACACATTTTGCCTCCTTATTTCTTCGAAAAATATGTCAGTTGCCTCAACAACCTTCAAAGTTTTCTTGACAGGTTCAGAAAAAGGGGTTAAACTGAAATACCTTTTCCAAATGAAAATGTAAACTCTATAGTCACGGTGAGCAAAGCCATACATGGCTGCTTCAAATCGATTTTGGTGCTGCACAATTTGAAAGATCTTTACACGAAGAGCAATTCAAACAAGCTTCTATGCATTAGATTACTGGAGCCTGGGAACGTATTACATGGGTATCTGAGCTGGATTCTGGATGCAAAGAAGCTACGGAAAGGTTGATCAGAGAAAGTTGCACGGCGATTCATGAAATGTTGGACGAGAAAGTCTGTCTAGATTACCCCATTCCAGTCAAAACTATCGTTGATATCCTATTTATAAAATTATAAAAGAGTTGGAGTACCAACAATCATTAAGAAGTGGCAGATCAAAGACTTAAAGAGACAGTAAAAACTGATCGAGATACTAAGCTGCACATTATTCACGTATCAAGGCTCGAAATTAAGATGTCAAACAATTTCCTAGCCAGTTTGGCCATTGCATTTGGTGTCAGTTCCAAATCTAGGACCAATAAGATCTCACATAGAATACTGCGATTCAACAGTTCTCGAGTCTCTCATCAGAAGCGCTACTCGACAGGGCCTACTTCACTCTGGACACTCATCCCCACAGATGAACTCGAGCTTCAATATAATGAGGGAGAAGATGAAGGCATTTGAAGTTATTAACGGTTGTGAAAAAATGCTAAATAGGCCTATAAGCAGCCATCATGTCTTGACGACAATCTCCAATCGATAGAGGCTGTAAGTGAACTGTAGGTATCACCTCGGTGGTGTTTGTGACGCTTCATAACAGATTTAATGCATTGATTGATATTGCGGTATTTTCTTCTAGCTTTAGAGCTACGAGGGCTATGTGCAATACGTTTGTGCGCTAATGCACTTACGCGTGCATGTTCATGTATCGCTACATGAACATATATCTAGCTTGGACCTGGCAGATTTCAAGAAGGACCTCGACATTAGACAGATGACACCTGCGTTCGCCCATCAAGGTGTATCTATCTTAATTCAAGGCTATGGAGATTCATTTCTTTTGCAGAAACATCAATGTACCCTTCGAACCCATTCAGAAATCGACTTCTCGTTCCTTAACCGAACTTCATCTTTCAGATCTAGCGCACAACACAGTAAGTAGCTCTATATCTTTCAATTGTAAGTTTCTCCAGGACAAAGTGAGCCGGGTTTCTTCAGCGCGATGCGATATTGAGCCGGAGTTGGTGGGTATCAAGAAGTGACAATGTGATGGAGAATAACCAGCCCAATAGCTGAAACTCTAGATTTACAAACTTCACAATTGAATTGGATTCTAACTGTGCTGGAACTCAGAATACGTCGAAATCCACACAATTCTAATCTCACAAGGCGACTTTTCTTTTTCTTTTGATACGAGATTTCAAGTGCAGAACCGATATTTCCACTGGTCTAGAAGCTTGTCTTCCTGATCACAAGGCTCGTGCAATTATTCTTAATAGTGATAATCTATGCGACTATATTACTTTGTTAATAGACTGTAGAACATAGAGTAGGTTTTTATCGTCATACCTTAAGTAGAGTTAATAAAGTAGAAAGTATTACTATTAAAGTTATGCCTTTGGACTTATAACACCCGGCTTTCAGTTCTGCATGAATGGTGATATACATCATTCTTTCTGGCGAATCCAGTAGGATGGCGCGAAGTCCTTGAAAGAGCATTACAGAAATTGTGGGAATACTAATCTCGGGTTCCGTAGAAAGAAGAAAACTCAATGAAAGAAAGCTAAAGGTAATGGATCATTTATCAAGTGCTCATTATCCAATCTAGATGTCGTCCGGGTCTTTGGGGGAAATGAGGAGTCAGACCTTTAAGATTACTCATTATCGTAGTAAGCTCCTTGGATCGTCTATTTTATCATTTGACATTCACTTTTGAAACTTCAATCATTTTCGTTAGCGTGCACAGCACCACTGCGGTGCTGCATCTCGAAATTTATTGTAAGCTCTTACATACCCAGCCCGAATTGGACTCAAAAAATCAACAACTTATACCCTTTCAGCCTCAATCGATAACGTATCTGCAAGTACATCGTGGGACCTCATCTGGAGGGCCGCATTTTTCTTGACGAGCTCTTGATTATTACAGGCATAGATATCATGGCTGCTACTTCAAGCTCTGTTGTCACCGTCCATCCAGATGGAGATCTGGTACTCCTTCTAGAGTTGATGCCAATTCATGAACCGCACAAATCTAGTTTAAAGCCTCAGATCAACGTTCCCAACGCAAAAGTTTTCAGTCCAGAGGCAGCCAGCAGCCCTGGCGAAACACAAAATGGGTGTACTAAGCGGTATAGGTCTAAAATACTTGTCTCTTCAAATCATATGTCGTTTGCTTCATCAGTATCCACGCTATGTTGACTGGGGATTCCAAGGAGGCTGTTGAACTCAGAGAAAAAGGTAGAACCGAGATACCACTTCCAGATGATGATGCGTGTGTTATGATTACGTTGGTTAATGTTTTGCATGGCCGCCTTAAATCAATCACAAAGTACCCTCGATTTAATTTTGCTTTCCAGAATCGCAATCTTAGTCGACAAATATCAATGCCATGAGTCGACGGAGTTTGTAGTGAAGGTTTGGACCGTCAAATATCGTGTATCTCCATGGAGTCGGAGCTGGTACTTTGCTGCTTACTGGATATTTGTGGCATGGATGTTTGGACTAGATGATGAGTTCAAGGAAGCGACAGAGAAGATCATCAGACAAAGTGATATGGGCCTTGGAGCAATACTGAGAGACTATAATCTGGCTTTGCCTATCACGGAAAGAGTTATCAGTAAGATTTCAACTCAGATGAAGAACCATCGATCGCTAACATGTTTTATAGATAAGATAGATGAAAGGCGTAAGAATGCCGTGAGCCAACTCATCGACGTTCTCAAGGATACAATATCTAGGTACCAGGGCCAAACTTTGATATGTCCCAACCACAGTTTGCCTGTCTTGGACATAATATCTCACAGAGAAACCTGCGATGCAACGGTTCTTGGAAGTCTCATAAAAAGTGTCACAAAGAAGAAGCTGTTTCCGTTGCCAGAAGCTCCATTCAAAGATCCGCTACGGTATCATGTAGTCAAGAGTAGCATCGCATCACTCGAACCCCAGACTGCCTGTAATGTACTCGTACAAGACGAATCACTACACCACAATGTCATGGGAATAATTGGCCAATCGATCGAGTCGATAGATGACAATATATCTGGGTTAAGTCTGGCAGACTGCAAGTAGGATTCCCACATGTGTTCACTGGCTTCCTTCATACCTTCTCTCAATGCTATGAGTAGGCCTCTTTAACATCAATATAGTTACTAGGAGATGAATGAGAACAATTTTCACATGAAATGCAGTCATGGACATAATCATCTCTACATTGTACTCGAGTTCCTTTTTGCCTGTTCATTGAGTGCGGTCCTTCTATTATGGCTTAAACCAAGACACCAATTTGTGTCTCAGATCATCAGTTCCACTTTCGCCCAGAGCAGATTTCGAAAACTACACTGCGTTGATTGACAAGGGATCTGTGGCCTACACATGTCTAGAGTAAGAGAGGGAAAATCAAGGACGGATGGATATTCTAGTCATGAAACAACAAACTATTCATGACTCGTCCTCGAATCAAGAAACTATCACCGTGATGCAGAATCAAACGCTGGGTTCAGCGGTGCTCAATAATATCCATCTAGATTACTGTATACTTTCTTGGTACGTGAATACGTACATGTTGTGCCTTTTTTGTGGTTGGAATGACCACCTTTTTGATTCGCCAAGGGCACTTTTTGACAGCTCCGAACTTTCACTGATTAGTCATTTATTAAAAATACTCCCCTTTAAATTATCGATTCACTCTAGGACTAGGTACGAGGTAAAACAACTTTTTATTTTCATGCGCTAACCAAGGCTAGCCAAGTGCGCAGGTGTACACAGCTCGCTAAGCCTGTCGCACATACATCTAGCCCTCAAGCTCCTCTTGTCAAACTCATATTTTAACAAACACTTTCAACAATAAAGCAGACACGAATACACTGAGCGATTTGTCCTCTAAAATTTTGAGGTAAGTACTCTAATTCTTACTATACTATAGTGGAGTACTCTCATTTTACTGCTCAAGCTTTCCTGGCTTGGCAGAATACTTTCTTCGAATTTAAGGCGTCTTCTCTTGCAACACACCATAAATTTGTAAGATTATTTCAGCAAGCTAGTGGGAGCCGTTACGTACGGATCATAGACCCCACCCAGTTGAATTTCTCCCCACCAGCTTAACCCCAACCTTGCAACGACTCAGTCACCACCGTGCCTTCTTTGCTCTCCTGTGTTCCACCATCCTACTTGTCAGATTTAAATGATCACGATACAATGGCAATATCTTCAAGCGCAAACATAATTGTCGACCCAGGTGGAGATTTAGTCCTTCTCTTGAACCCGACCATACGAAACTCCTCAAAATCCGATTCTTCTTCTTCAGCAAACCCTGTGGCTACGGGTTCAAAGATGATACGTTCCCTTCAAGGTGAAATATCAGAGACCTCGCAGCACGAGCCAACCCCGATCTACAGCGATCACATACTGGTATCTTCGAAGCATATGTCTCTAGCTTCTCCAATATTCAAAGCAATGCTACAGGGCGGATTTAGAGAGGCTATTACGCTGAAGGAAATAGGAAGGCTTGAGGTTCCACTTCCGGATGACCATCCTGCTGCCATGAAAATACTGATCAATATGATCCACGGCCGCATGAACTCAATCCCTTTAAGGATTGACTTGAAGTTGTTCACGTGGATAGCTATTCTGGTAGATAAATACCGATGCGCAGAAGTCATTGGCCCGTACCCTAGCATTTGGAAAATGGATTTGCAGGATTGGACTAATTCAAGCTCAGATGTTGCCCGATGGCTTTGCATAGCTTGGCAGTTTGAGCTACATGAGGAATTTCTTCGAGCTACAAAGTTGATACAGTTGCAAAGTACATGTGATCTCGAGACGACAATTGCGAAATTGAGGTACAATCTGCCAATTCCAAAAAAGGTAACTGGTAGGTTTACCTAGCATTAAAGAAGACAATGACCAGTGTTATTAACTTCCATAGACAAAATAGAGATGTGTCGACAAGAAGGGATCAGAAAAGCCGTCAAGTTTCTGGAAAATTTCATCACGATGTATCAAAAATCTGATAATCGTTGTACTGCTAGGACAATCCCAGAGATTGAGTACAAGGATACAACCCGAAGGGATTTATACGGTAGTTATGGATACCCTAGACGTCCAATCGACGATCAATCAAAACAGATATCATTCCTGAACTATGATGAGGTTGTCTCCTACAGACGAGACTGTGACTCGATGCTACTTGGCTCTTTGACAAAGAGTTTGATTGAGCATGGATTGTTTCCTCTGCCACCATCTCCATACACTTCATGGTCTATAAAATATCTGCGCCAAAGAATTGAGCTCCTCGAGGCCAGTAGTTTATGTTCCAGACTTCTAGAGACATCTGTCGTCCGACATGACGTCATCGACGGACTCAAGAAGTCTGTTCGTACTATTTCGGTATTAGGTCTAACTTTGAAAGACGGTAAGAAGTTGGTTAGCAATAAATGAGAGAAGCTGCCAAGGCCTACTTCAAAGGTTGTGACTCAACTCCGGTCTCGTCTGACCCGGGATACATTGACCCTATCGGGCGCGTTGTTGATCCAATCCTCCATAATTGTTTTTCTATTGAGAAGTAAATTCACGTCTCATAGCCTTCAATTAGTGGCGTAATGTTGCATTCGTCTTTCTCAAAATGGCGGTCCGAATGTTGTTGGGAAGTTGCTGCTCTGCTGAGTGAAGTTGGCTATCTGAGCCGGTGGAAAAATGATCACTGGAACGAGGTTATAATAATTCGAAAACGAAGAGAACTTGTTCACTCTTCTCTGCTGTTGTTTGAGATTCAATGAGATTGTGTGGCATCTGGTCTAGTTCACTTTTCAGCTGGCGGTAGTGATCAAAACCTTAGGATTTTATACTTCTAGACATAATCTTGTTGCAATTGTACACTTCATTGTTCGTAATTCCAATGTCCGCAGACGAGAACGCCAGAATACTCCAGTATGTCTCATAAGATACATTAGAATCAAGAATGTGAAATAATGTCCTGTTTTTAAGTAAGAGACCATAATTTGAAATTCAAACGAGCATAGCAAAATTAAAGATATAAGGCGTGACTACGTTCATCAACGCAATATGGGTGTGAATTTGTTCCTCGAATGCCTGAACTATAACCCTCTTGGATCACTGCAAGCCTTTAGTGAAACTAAGCCCTACCTACTAGCAATGGAATCATAACGTGCTGGTGTCTCAATAAGACATAGCTAAGTGCCACCTTAACGATCGAGTTTCAGCTGACTTCTGCTTGACCTCTTTTACCAATGGCTTCTAAAAAGGCTTTGCGTACATTTGCAAAATCTCGCGTCCCATGAAGACCACCGATCACCCATGTGAAGAGTGTAGCTTCATACCAATATCTGACCATCTTCACAGAATTTACCACACGACCTGTTGATTAAAACTTGACTCACTTACTCACAAGGGTAATTCAATTACCTAGACCAATGACAGCGAGCCCGTTGAGGACCAAAGGCAGTCCTGGAGTAACAGTAATATTGATTTGACGATAAAACATCTAGAACCCTCTAGATTGAAGCCCCATGCATCATACAGGAGATCAAAAACGATGTCCCTACGGGGCACCACCCATGATACTATTTGCGGAAACGCCTTGCACGAAACCAGAGAAATTTTCCGAGTCTGACAGTCTGAAGCTTACTTCCCCCCGAGAACCTTACCTAAATGAAGAACTGCTTCTAGAACGCGTCAGTCAACCTCCATGTCCACGATGACCAATCTCATTATAGATCCCAGTACTAGATCAGCCTAAGTGGTGTCAGATCAATCAGCTTGGTTGGGTCACACAGTAAAGGAACCTTCCGAGAGCAATACTTCATTCTCCAACATATGAACTGGGGTGGATATGGGAATGAATGTAGGGCTAGGCACATTCTTCTGTGACATCTTCCTGTTAGAATCACGACGATCATCTTCTGTTCCCCCATACGATATGTTTCAATTTCTGGGTGAGTTCCGGGTGACCTGGCATCAACGCCTACCGCTACAAGATATAGAATGGAACTATTACTATCCATTCAATATAATAGTAGCAAAAGCTGGCGCAGCAAGTCAATTTGGGAAATAATCAAGCCCCTTCGTATATCCAGGCGCCCAATCCGAAGCTATAAAGCCCCAACACATGCATTTATATATGAGCTGGCAATATCACAATACGAACGATATATTCTTCAAAGTAACGCCAACATGTAGATCTACAACCAATAACCATTCACAGCGGGACTCGGCTGAAGTGCCTATACTCAGCCGCCGTTACACACTAATTATCGGTTCGGCATAATGAATGCGGCTCACAACTATGTACCGGGAATACCCTCCAAGTTCAAGTCACATACATTACGATTTATTCTAAATTTATCACATTTCCCCACAATCGCTACGCGGGGAGCTTCTGTGAGAAGTTGGAAGACTGGATTCCAACACTTACTGGTAATCACCCCGCGTTTCGCGAAAGTATATTCTTACCCATGTCACGGGAGGGAACATAAATCGACCGGGTATCTGCTGCTCGTAAGTCTTAATTAGGAAATATTCTCGGCTATCAAGTTGGAGAACGTGACAATGAAAGTCTTGGGATCTCCGAATGGTTCTTCCGGCCGTTGTATGAGAAAGAGAATGCGTGGATGCTAGATCATCGGCGAAGACACAATGTAAGCTTCAAGGACGAATATGTCATGCTTGATACGCCGCGGAAAGAATATGCAGCCAGGACGCGGCTTTGTGCCGTTGAGAATCATAGCTGAAGTTCGATAATTTTATATGTTTTTAGCTCGTCGCGCTGCTGCAACTGCAGGTTGTAGATTCGGCGAATTACTGCAGGAAGGCTGCAACGTCCTTGAGATAACTGGTCTTGGCTTACCTCTTCCAGGGTCCCGGATTGTCTAAGAAATTATGAGAAATACTTCCTGTATTGCATGAAATGCAGACTCTTCGTACGTGATCAAATATGGCATGCAGTCTGAACCTACCATAAATTATCTGAGTCGTTGCTGAGAAGTATTCAAGTCGTGGTAGGTAAGCCGACAAGCCATTCTACAGAGTCCGAGACTCTGGCGCAGTGAAAGTTTGGAGACGAGAAATCCACAGCGAGGATTTCTGACACGTGTTGAGGTAATTTTTGCAGCTCTTGAGCTTAGTTTCTGTGTGGGAGGTTGCTTGATGTGTGGATTCATCATTGTGTTGCCCCTTTTTCTGCCGTGTCTACTTCGTCAAGGAGTGCAAGGGATTAGACTTTGGGTCGAAAGAGAAGAGCCTTTTGATATGAGGATATGTATTGAAATGTATGGTTCCAGATTTCGAGGTAAGTAGAATCGCCAAATAGATTTTCCGATACTGCTCTGAATCCCAGTCAATTTCCCCACCCACCCCCATTCTTGTCCCCAATCAACTTCCCCAAGTTTTCTCCGCCTATCCGAGATTGGGACTACTGCGTATGTATGCTTGCTTTTCGACGTGTTAATTGGCCAAGCGTAGTACAGGAACCGTGTGGGGAAATTGTTTGGGGAAACTGGGATCGTGGAGGCGGAAAAAAAGACAAGATCAGATGAAATTTGACAAGTAGAGAGTACTTTCTCCGTGGTACGACAGGTCTAAAAGGTCTAATATAGTCCTCGATCCTCAGTACTAGGATACAAAACTGGAGGGATCATCAATCCTCGTGTCCAACAGATCTACAAAGACTTTTATTGCTGAACACCAACAGAAAATGTCAATCTGACATAGAATCCAAGCATATGATTTTTCATCAAGACCCAATTGAGTATCCTACAAAGACTATCTCAATTTTCGTTTCCCTGTCATTGCAGGAAGAGGTTTTGGAACTTGGAGTACCTTCCAAGCACGAGATCCAGTAAAGAGGAAATCAGCTCATGTTCCTCGTGAGGATCTGCATATTCATATATGTTGTGGCCAGAATACTTACAAGCCCCACGGTTGCAGTAAACGACGCCAGGAAGCTTTCAACGTTCCACAACTACACCTTCGTAGATATAAAATTGCAATATATCCAATATATCAAGGATTTCGGCCAAAAGAAGCGTCCTGCTGCCGTCAGCGAATGTCAGCTTTCCCCCGAAAACGACGTCGGCGCCCTCATCCGTGACCGTTGGCTTGTCAGTAATCTACAAATTGAAGTTTACCGGAATCACTGCAGTCATTCCCCGTACCTCCAGCGTCCTTGAACGTCTTACTGTCAACTTACGCACATGCAATTTCTCAGCTCAGAGGCCAAGAAGATACTATTATCGACGTATTTTTGTCGTATTTCATATTGAGTTGATAAAGCTGCACTTGCTATAATCAATCCGCAACTTATTCCAGACCCCAATCCAATCCAAACCGAATTCTCTCGAGGTGGGTCGGATATTGTCCTTCGGACAACGGCACCCAGTTTCATGCCTTCATCAATTGGTTCAACAAAGATGTTTCATACTTGTAAGTATATATTCGAAAAGAAGACATCCGAATTACCGAGTGGAGTAAGAAAGTCCCATGCTGATCATTGTTCCAACGTTGTATTAGTTCAAGGACTGGCGCCACCGCGCGAAACTTTAAGCACGGAACAAACGATTATTGTAAATACCCCCAAACCGACGACGAATGGAGCAACGAAACGAATTACAACTCCACACGCATGTGCAGAATGTAAACGTCGTAAAATTCGATGCGACGGTCGACAGCCGTGTGGGCAATGTGTTGGATGTCGTTCTCCTAAACCATGTTACTACGATAAACATAGACAGAGGGTAATTCCATCTCGAAAGTACGATGATTGTGCATCCAAATGCTGCTTTAGAGTACTGATTGAAGTAGAACCCTTGATGCTCTCTCTCAATCCCTAGACGAATGTCGTACCGTTATACGACGACTTTATCCGGACCAAGAAGTGCAACAATTGTTGCCGTTGTCGCGAAATGAACTCGTTGCCCTCATCGACCGGTCTCCTCGGAGTGCGCTTTCAAATATATCCCCCTCTGCTTCAAATACATCTCCAACATCGCAGGAATATAGATCACCCCTAAACTCTGGGTCGGACGAAGATAGAAGCCTGGCAAATCTCGAACAGATTCCAAATCAAGACATTGAATGGGACGAGGAAAGAAGAACTCGAGATCCAATACCCACGGAGGCGGATGATGTAAATGCCCTGTCTCTCTCAGTTGATAGACAGTCGTCGTACTTAGGTGCGACTTCGATTAAAGCCGCACTTTTAGTTATGCTCAAGGTAGCACCGAGACTTCGATCTCTCTTCTTGGCACCTTCTAACAACAAGCAAATTTCAGCAAGTAGTAACTATCCCACACCACGACCAGGAAGCTCTACCAAAGATTTACAACCGATCTCATGGTCATCCAATGGCCAGACCCTTATTGATGCATATTTCAACAGAGTGCAAATATTTGTACCAATGCTCGATGAACCCACGTTTAGAGCCG